GAAAAAAAGGAATATGGGTAATGATCATAGTAGTAGGAAGAAAAGAGAAAAAAAGGAATATGGGTAATGATCATAGTAGTAGGAAGAAAAGAGAAAAAAAGGAGTATGGGTAATGATCATAGTAGTAGAAAGAAAAGAGAAAAAAAGGAATATGGGTAATGATCATAGTAGTAGGAAGAAAAGAGAAAAAAAGGAGTATGGGTAATGATCATAGTAGTAGGAAGAAAAGAGAAAAAAAGGAGTATGGGTAATGATCATAGTAGTAGGAAGAAAAGAGAAAAAAAGGAATATGGGTAATGATCATAGTAGTAGGAAGAAAAGAGAAAAAAAGGAGTATGGGTAATGATCATAGTAGTAGGAAGAAAAGAGAAAAAAAGAAATATGGGTAATGATCATAGTAGTAGGAAGAAAAGAGAAAAAAAGGAATATGGGTAATGATCATAGTAGTAGGAAGAAAAGAGAAAAAAAGGAATACAAGCGACTTAACAGACGGGCTGAATTCTGTTGAGTGAATATTTTCTACAGCTGGTATGGCCCCTGTTGTTTGAACATCAGGTATAGAATTGTTGTCGTTTGAACAGCTGATATTACCCATTTCGTTTGTGCAGCTGACATCGCCCATGCATTTTTGGTTTCCATGTATAGGACCCAACAACGTCGTAGCACATCGAATAACACCCAAACAAGGGCCCCAACTTTCTCCTAAACAGGGGACACGTAGAATCCTCGTATCACGGAAACCAAATGTGTTGTTTTTTAATCTCCATAAATATTTTTTGTTTTTCTTAACAATCTCTTACCAGCATTTGGCATTTTTATCTCGGCCACAGCTTTAGTTAAATTCTTTCCTTTTTTTTTCTGAATATTTAATTTTTTCATTCTTTTTGTTTTTTAATTGTTTTTGTTTGCCGAAGAAAGTGTTTGTCCGACACGTGTCGTTGTGGTTTTTTTTGTTGTTTTTTTCCTGCTCTCAGGTTTTTCAACGATCCTACGGTTCAAATTTCCTATAGCTCAACCCGATCGCAAAATTTCGTGGGATTACTTCATTTTTAAGTACTTTTAAATACTAAACTTTAATGATTTTATAAAATAGTTTCATCTTCCGATGGGATCACATTTCTCTAGTGTAATCTAGCTCAACATTATTTTATACTTTTATACTCCATAGCAGGGGGTCGGCAACCTTCGTCAATCGTGTCATACTTTGCACGGATTGCGATTTTTATTGGAATAACAATAAAGTGGTGAAGAAAGTTAAAGAAATACGTCTTAAATGGTAGACTGTCAAGTTATGGCCACGTTAAATGAATTCAAAGTCTCATTTGGAACGCTCATACCAAAAGGTTGCCAACCCCCTACTCTATAACACTGGCATTTTATAACTAGGTCATATATGTCCTCTAACACTGGCGGTTTAAAAGTCTCTCCTTTCGTCTTATTTCAGACAGCAACTTTGTCCTCGGTAACGCACAGGCCAACGGCTGGCCAATCGTGTACTGCTCCGATGGCTTCTGTGAGCTCACGGGCTTTTCCAGGGCCAACGTCATGGCCAAGGGGTCGGGCTGCAGGTTCCTGTACGGGGCGGAAACAAGCGAGGCGGAGACCCACAAGATACAGGAGGCTCTGGAGGAGAAGCGGGAGCTGAAGACAGAGTTGCGATTTTACAGGAAAAATGGTGGGTACTTGTCGTGTGTCAGTTAGGATGTGTAGTTAGCGTCTATTTCGGTTGGCTTGTGTTGCTGACTTGTCACGTGAAGTTATGCTGTGAAGATATCATGCTATGATGTGCCAGTTTATGATTTGCACCTAACTTGAATTGTGTTCCTTTCTGTTATGTGTGTTGTGGTCTGTGTGACCGTGAATCCAACAGTTCCTGTAAAATGTGTCAATTGCTGGAGTGCTCACTTCACACGATCAAATTTTTCATCAAATCTCTTTATGAACGCACTATTTTGTTTTACTATATAGTGCGTTCAAAAAGAAAGTTGACGAAAATTTGATCATGTGAACTGAGAATTAGAGATTAACGTGTGAACGAATGGTGGCGCGATGGTGCATACAACGATGGTGCGCCAATTTATTGCATTTTGTTTTTGTATTTTATAACAAGGGGTGCATAGATAAACTCAGGACATTCTTCAGAAACTTCAAGTTTAAAATACTATGTTATTCATCCAGCTCCAAGACCATGACGTTGTAAACTAATGAACGATTCTATCTCTGGCTCTATTACGCCCCTCGAGGGTTATCCAGTGCAATTTTGTTTTTAACCCTGACGAAAGAAGGAAAAGCTTTGATGGACATTTATTCTGATAATAAAACGTCCTGTGTTAATTTCTTCAGTTTTTTTTTTCCCAGAGTTGATGATTGGAACGAAGTAAACACAAAAACTTTAAAGTGATTTGGGTGAGGGCTTGACATGGGCGTATCCATTTCCAAAATCTCGATTAATTATTTTTTATTTTTTTGTTGTTGTTGTTGTTTTTCGTTGTTGATGTCTTAAACCTGCCCTCTATCCCTGCTTTACACACACTCCTGGGGACACGCCCGTGCTTCATCCAGGCGTCGACCTGAAACAACAAAATTCATTGATAGGTTTGACCTTTTCTGACGTCACGTTCTCGCCATGGTCAAGGGAGGGGGGGGGGGCCTCCGAAAAAAAAAGTTGGGAATGGGGGGGGGGGGGGGGATAGATTAGGTGACTTCAACAATCATGGTTTTTCTATTAAAATTTTAATCTTAAAACTTGACTGGTTCCTACATTATTTTAAACAATTTAATGAGTTTAAATGGTCATAAATGTTAATGTTATGTGCTTTTAACACTACGAGAGTTATTTAATGTGTGTCTGTCTGTGCACTGCTGATGGCTGGTCAGAATGTTAGCACACTTTGTTAGTGCAAGAAAAGTCAAAAGTTGGCATCTCTTCACCTGTCATGTTTCACTTAATCCGCTCCCTAGAATGATTAACACATCATTTTANTTTTTTTTTTTTTTTTTTTTTGTTTTTTTTTTTTTTTTTTGGGGGGGGGGGTGCGTTGGCGTTATAAGGAAAATGGAAAATTAACCTGTTGGCACTAGTAATGGGAAATTTCCAAGTATATCCCCCCCCCCCTCTTAAATATTCTGAACCAAGTCATCATACATTATGCTTGGTATGTGTAGGTCTCTGCTTCATACATTCGAAGATAAAATTTTAAACAATTGAAACGCAGCTGACGTGTACAAACGTCGCATCTAACCTGCCGAACTCAGCTCTATGTGACGACCATTTGTAGAACCAGCATCAAATCTCCTACGTGAGCACTCACGGTCGGCAGCTAAATAGTATTGGAAAATAAATGCATCGCCCAAGCGTGGCAACAACTATCCTGCTCTATATAAATGTATCCGCCACTATCAACCTTTATTCTGTTCTATCGACCATTATCAAGCACTATCAACCCTTATCCTGCACTATCAACTTTTATCCTACAATATCAACATTTATCCTGCACTATCAACCTTTACCCTACACTATCAACCTTAAACCAACACTATCAACCTTTATCCTCAACTATCAACGTTTTCCCAACACTATCAACCTTTATCCATTCAATCTCTTAGCCTCATGCACTGTACAACAATGAAACATTTTACATCTCAAATAAAAAAATAACCTTTGTGGTTTTTTTTGTTTTTTTTTAAACTATCGATCTTTTCCTTCAACTGCAGTTCAATAAGCAATCAATTATTGCTTGAGGTAAGGGCGACACATTATTAAGGGGTTAGGCGCCCGAAAATATCTAAAATTTTCAAAAATTGTCCATTTTTTTATTTTTTCATTTTTACGAAGATAAACATTCTTAGAATCGATTACATATCAATTGATACTACTTTTTAAAAGATTTGTTGTGAAACAACTGATATTTAACACCCCTCCCCACTCTAAAAATTGACCTAATTTGGGAAATAAAATAAAATTCATACATATCCCATGTTTGAGACCTCAAAAAACTAGTTTTAAATAACATAATATGCTATTATTATATATCAACGTAAAGGTAAATTCAAGCAGTTTTTTTTTATTTTTAGAATCGAAGTCAGTAAATATAATTGCTACAAATAATCGGATCCACAAGCGAAGTGTGTGTAGGATTTTCTTCACTTCTATTTATATAATTATTTTACCGATTTTCATTGGTCCGAACCGAGGGTAACCAAGATACCGTTGACTCGCGCATGCGCAAATGCGTTGTTTATGCGTGTTTACCGGAGCATGGTTCTGTGTACAGAACGACATTTTGCAAACGAAAGCATCAGCATATTTTGATTTTAAAATACACGTTTACAACCTTACCCATTCGGTAAAAGCCAGAAAATCAAGGTAAGTATACTAAAAAAATGACCTTAATTTAGCAACATGCAATCGGTGATAGTTGAAATTATTCAGTTCGGACGTCAGTACTGTCACTGTGTTGCCTTGATGATTGATCGTGCGTGTGGATTGTTTGTGATTTTATGTTTAGCTTATGCCTTATGCGGAGAATTACATAAGTTTCTACTATTAGTCTTTATATTTACCAATCAAGTGAATTGTTAAATTATATGAATCCTAAGCCTATTTATTTATAGTTGTCTAACAAAACAACATTGATAAATAATCGAGTAGTTCAAAGTAATAGTAATAGCATAGGCATAGGCTAAGACAAGACTAAGGCTAAGGCTAGGACTAAAACAACAACGCAATATGCCGTAATACTACTATAATTATGGCATGGTATTAGCATTAGCAGTATGGGGAAAATAATTCGTATTAGAATCTTTTAACTCAAATAGTTTAATCTTAGCCTTATTCATTTTTTTTATCTGCATACAATTATTAATAGTAATAGCTAATTAGTTTTATATTATTCCTTATTTATAAGATCAGTTCAATTGACTAATAATAGTAATTATAATAAAATAAGTATTTAGTTTAGCAATCCTAAACATCTAAATAATACTAATAGGCTTATTGAGATCATTTTCAATATATTATTTGCTAAATAATGTTTATATAATTTTTTAATTCCATTCCAGCCCCCAATTAGTTCTACCGAGCCGAGCAAAAGTTAATTCTTCAGTGACAAGAATTCTACAGAGGGACTGCTAAACATTGATTTCGAAATGATCATAATTCAAAGCTTTTACCAATTTTCTTCTGTCTGCAGTGGAATGGACGAATTGCAGAAGCCATAACTTACAGCTGATTGCAAAACAAAATAGTAAATACTATGAACATAACAATGACTAGATTGTGAGTGGTTAGATTGTTCATATCAACAACTGGATAACCAAGTCATTATCAATTATAGACTCTAAGGCCTGAAGGACAATGGCATGGACTATGAAAAGTTGCAATCTATGATATCTGCGATAAACAATCCAGCTGCACCGCAAAATTTATAACCTGCGCAAAGTATAAAAACTGCGCTATGCCGAAGACATGAAACATTTATGAGCAAGTATCTTCCCAATTATTACATTTCTAATAGACAAATAACTCATTCACCTCTGGTATGAGGGACATCTTTGATGAAAGAAGTACACAGAATAGGTACAAAAGTTTCAACATAGCATTGCTGCCATGAAACTATGCTTTAATTTCAGTGATGGTGACAGCAACATAACCTTGTCATCTAAGCATGGTTAAAAGGATCATGGACAAAAGGGTTGATTGGGGACTTTGGATAACTTGTGTTATATTATAATGCTGAACAAAAAATTCTAATACAACACAAATTAGCTTTATTCCAGAGGAAAAAAATTTTTTGTTTAAAATTGTGATTTTGACGAGAGCACCTGATGAAGTTCAAGAAGTTAAAACCCATGTTCCTGGTGCATTCAACAGTTCAATAATATAAGAAACCACCATGTCCATGTTGCTGAACAAAAAAAACTATGTAAAAGAACTTCATTTTCATATTAAACTTAAAATTTTTCACTTTTAAAGTTTAAAATTGATTTTTCTCAAAATTGTTTTTTTCTGTTGTTTTGTAACGTAGAATTCTAAAATCTCAGCTAATATACAAGCTAGAGTAATAAAATTTGGTGTGTATCTTCCTTTAACTATTTTGTGGGTAATGAGCTATTCAAAAATCAATTTGGTCAATTACTTTTGTTTAAATAATTTTTTACATATCCTAGGATGGTAAATTTTAAGCGTTTTCTGCCGAGGCAAATTTTAAAAATTAAATAAAAAATGTTTTGAAAAGTTTTAAGGAAATTAAACTAGCTCAGTACCTCTAAATATAATTGAAGTTCATGAATCAATCAATTTTTAAGCAATATGTATGTTTGTTTTTAAAATTTTAGAACTCTACGAATGGGTATTATTTTCAAGATGGCCGCCGTTGCCATGGCAACTATATAATTTTTTTTTATTTTCAAGCATGAAAATATATCTCCATTCATAGCTTAACATGACCATAATAAAATAATTGCTCTAAGTTGGTTAATTAAAAAAAAAAATTTTTTGGTAGCCTGCCCCCTTAACAAAACGGTTCTTGTCTAGTTTGGTAATACGTTTAAGATTGCACACATTTTTCTTAACATTTAGCAGGAAAAAGGGGAGGGGGTTGGTGTCGAAACCAATTGTCTGACAGCATTTAATAACATCCTATTGAATCCTTCCGTATTATTATTCAATTAATTTTCTAAGTTATGGGAAGACGTCAATAATGAAGCTGAACACCAAAGGAAGATGTTCACCTTGAGCGTGTGTGTGTGTACTCAAACTGTTCATTTGTTCAGCTGCCATGTAACGAAGGTAGTCTTGATGGTGTTCAGCTGGTATACAGTAGTTGCCAGTTGCTGCCTGTGGAATAGTTAAGAAATCAACTCCTAATTACTTTTAGAGGTGTTTTTTTCTTTTTATTTTAGGAGAACAATTATAAATGCTATGTTAACGTCACCGAAAGGGTATCGACAGAACCAAACGTGTTTGGTGAAAAGAGACGCGTTATCCTCTTGCGGTTTTCTGTTGCGGGTAATGATAGATGGCCGCGTGATCTCACCAACATCTAATATGGTCGGACTTATACATTATAACACGGCAGTAACCGTATAGTACCAATATTGACCTGCGATTTGAATTCTTCTGACAACGTATCAATGCACCATTTATCATTTGTACACCATAGTATATGATACGTGGCTCGCGAAATCAGTGCCTTAAGTCTCTGATGTTACTTCCAGATAACTTTGGTCTCTGATGTTACTTCCAGATAACTTTGGTCTCTGATGTTACTTCCAGATAACTTTGGTCTCTGATGTTACTTCCAGATAACTTTGGTCTCTGATGTTACTTCCAGATAATTTTGGTCTCTGATGTTACTTCCAGATAATTTTGGTCTCTGATGTTACTTCCAGATAATTTTGGTCTCTGATGTTACTTCCAGATAATTTTGGTCTCTGATGTTACTTCCAGATAATTTTGGTCTCTGATGTTACTTCCAGATAATTTTGGTCTCTGATGTTACTTCCAGATAATTTTGGTCTCTGATGTTACTTCCAGATAATTTTGGTCTCTGATGTTACTTCCAGATAATTTTGGTCTCTGATGTTACTTCCAGATAATTTTGGTCTCTGATGTTACTTCCAGATAATTTTGGTCTCTGATGTTACTTCCAGATAATTTTGGTCTCTGATGTTACTTCCAGATAATTTTGGTCTCTGATGTTACTTCCAGATAATTTTGGTCTCTGATGTTACTTCCAGATAATTTTGGTCTCTGATGTTACTTCCAGATAATTTTGGTCTCTGATGTTACTTCCAGATAATTTTGGTCTCTGATGTTACTTCCAGATAATTTTGGTCTCTGATGTTACTTCCAGATAATTTTGGTCTCTGATGTTACTTCCAGATAATTTTGGTCTCTGATGTTACTTCCAGATAATTTTGGTCTCTGATGTTACTTCCAGATAATTTTGGTCTCTGATGTTACTTCCAGATAATTTTGGTCTCTGATGTTACTTCCAGATAATTTTGGTCTCTGATGTTACTTCCAGATAATTTTGGTCTCTGATGTTACTTCCAGATAATTTTGGTCTCTGATGTTACTTCCAGATAATTTTGGTCTCTGATGTTACTTCCAGATAATTTTGGTCTCTGATGTTACTTCCAGATAATTTTGGTCTCTGATGTTACTTCCAGATAATTTTGGTCTCTGATGTTACTTCCAGATAATTTTGGTCTCTGATGTTACTTCCAGATAATTTTGGTCTCTGATGTTACTTCCAGATAATTTTGGTCTCTGATGTTACTTCCAGATAATTTTGGTCTCTGATGTTACTTCCAGATAATTTTGGTCTCTGATGTTACTTCCAGATAATTTTGGTCTCTGATGTTACTTCCAGATAATTTTGGTCTCTGATGTTACTTCCAGATAATTTTGGTCTCTGATGTTACTTCCAGATAATTTTGGTCTCTGATGTTACTTCCAGATAATTTTGGTCTCTGATGTTACTTCCAGATAATTTTGGTCTCTGATGTTACTTCCAGATAATTTTGGTCTCTGATGTTACTTCCAGATAACTTTGGTCTCTGATGTTACTTCCAGATAATTTTGGTCTCTGATGTTACTTCCAGATAATTTTGGTCTCTGATGTTACTTCCAGATAATTTTGGTCTCTGATGTTACTTCCAGATAATTTTGGTCTATGATGTTACTTCCAGATAATTTTGGTCTCTGATGTTACTTCCAGATAATTTTGGTCTATGATGTTACTTCCAGATAATTTTGGTCTCTGATGTTACTTCCAGATAATTTTGGTCTCTGATGTTACTTCCAGATAATTTTGGTCTCTGATGTTACTTCCAGATAACTTTGGTCTCTGATGTTACTTCCAGATAATTTTGGTCTCTGATGTTACTTCCAGATAATTTTGGTCTCTGATGTTACTTCCAGATAACTTTTGTCTCTGATGTTACTTCCAGATAATTTTGGTCTCTGATGTTACTTCCAGATAATTTTGTTCTCTGATGTTACTTCCAGATAATTTTGGTCTCTGATGTTACTTCCAGATAATTTTGGTCTCTGATGTTACTTCCAGATAACTTTGGTCTCTGATGTTACTTCCAGATAATTTTGGTCTCTGATGTTACTTCCAGATAATTTTGGTCTCTGATGTTACTTCCAGATAACTTTGGTCTCTGATGTTACTTCCAGATAATTTTGGTCTCTGATGTTACTTCCAGATAATTTTGGTCTCTGATGTTACTTCCAGATAACTTTTGTCTCTGATGTTACTTCCAGATAATTTTGGTCTCTGATGTTACTTCCAGATAATTTTGTTCTCTGATGTTACTTCCAGATAATTTTGGTCTCTGATGTTACTTCCAGATAATTTTGGTCTCTGATGTTACTTCCACAGACCTTGGGCCCATGATATTACTTCCTGAAACATTGGGCCTATGATATTTCCTACTGAGACATTGGGCCCATGATATTACTTCTGGAGAAATTGGGCCTGTGATATTTCTTCCTGAGACATTGGGCCCATGATATTACTTCCTGAGGCACTAGGCCCATGATATTACTTTCAGAAACCCTGGGCCTATGATATTACTTTCAGAAACCATGGGCCTATGATATTACTTTCAGAAACCCTAGGCCCATGATATTACTTTCAGAAACCCTGGGCCTATGATATAACTTTCTAAAACATTGGGCCCATGATATTACGTTCAGAAACCCTGGGCCTATGATATTACTTTAAGAAACCCTAGGCCTAGGATATTACTTTCAGAAACATTGGGCCTATGATATTACTTTCAGAAACATATTGGCCCAGTCATTGGCCCAGATATTACTTTCACAGAACTTGGCCATATGAGATTTTCTCTGAGAAAACACTCGAAATATTTATAAGCTTCCAAAAAGGTATAATTCCTTTTTAACATTTCTATCCAACACAAATTAAGTTTCAATAACTTTAGCACCGGCTTGTGGACTTTTCCGAAACTTGGCATTTACCAACTGTTGTCTCTACCCAAATCTTTTAATTCACCAATTTTATAATATCTCAAATTTTGGCATTCCTCAAGCGTTGTGTGTTGCTCAAATTGTGTAATTCCGCCCTGATTGTAGCATTCCCCAACTGTTGTCATTCCCAAATGTTTCTCATTCCCCAACTGTTGTTATATGAAAGGTATGAAAACACAGTGAGTAATAATCTCCTTTACAACATTGTTCCCTTCAGGCTTTTTATAAATATTTTATGTGAACTAGGAAAATTTGACAACTCTGGCCCTATTATTTTTTAAAAAAAACTGTTACAGAACCTTACCCCGCAACTTTAAAAAGAAAATAATAATAAAAATAATAATAGGATTTTACAAGCGATTTTTACGGAAATTGACATAAAATGCGATACTGAATATTCCCTGTGAGTCAAATGCGATTGAGAAATTGTGTGTTAACATTAGCCGCCAATATAATAAGGTTAACAGGCTCCTATATTTGTGCTGTAAATTTGATGCGCTGCATCGATGTGCACGGAATCTAGAATGTCGTCCCTACCCTCCTCATGTGACACACGGCGCTTCTTGTTTTACGTTTTTAAGCAACTTACCTAGACGAATATTGACGCCCCTCCTTCTGCTGTAATCATGTCGTCGTCGTCCCCCCTCCCCCCCGTCCCCCCACCCGATTACAATCCGCCCCTGATAGTGAGTAGGCTGCATAGATAGAATTATCCAATCCGCCCCTGATATTGAGTAGCCTGAGTAGATAAAATTCTCCAATCCGCCCCTGATATTGAGTAAGCTGAGTAGATAAAATTCTCCAATCCGCCCCTGATATTGAGTAGCCTGAGTAGATAAAATTCTCCAATCCGCCCCTGATATTGAGTAGCCTGAGTAGATAAAATTCTCCAATCCGCCCCTGATATTGAGTAAGCTGAGTAGATAAAATTCTCCAATCCGCCCCTGATATTGAGTAGCCTGAGTAGATAAAATTCTCCAATCCGCCCCTGATATTAAGTAGGCTGAGTAGATAGAATTCTCCAATCCGCCCCTGATATTGAGTAAGCTGAGTAGATAGAATTCTCCATTCCGCCCCTGATATTAAGTAGGCTAAGTAGATAGAATTCTCCAATCCGCCCCTGATATTGAGTAGCCTTGAGTAGATAGAATTCTCCAATCCGCCCCTGATATTGAGTAAGCTGAGTAGATAGAATTCTCCAATCCGCCCCTGATATTGAGTGGGCTGCGTAGATAGAATGCTCCATGATTCCGCCGAGTTCGAGAATGATTTGGCGCTCGTGTTTCACTTTGGCCGCCGTACAAACGGATGAATTGAGCCCCTTGATCTGAGCTGACATGCGACCATTATCCCACCACTCGACCACTGGTCATGGAAGGCGTAGCGTATGATATTTGTACTTTAGCGGTTGACATCACTGGTGCGGCCTTGATTTCCCGAGAGGTGCACGCTTTTGTTCCAGCCCATAAAACTGTTGCGTTTACACACTTGAGCCGGCGATGAATCTCAGTTGAGGATCATTTTAATTTTAACGCATCGGAGGGAACGGGGAAATTGTAGATGTATAGATGTATAATAGTCACTTGTGTGTAATAGGTATTTGTAGGCATCCCAGTGGTGTTTATAGAATGATGGATTATAATGGCGCGTTTTGGAGTATATTACACTGTCTAATGGTGTGTGTGTGTGTGATTCTTTGTCCGAAATAAGTGGTGGTCTATTATGGTGTAGTGTTATTCTGTAGTACGCAGTGATCCATTATGGTGTTGTGTCATGCTTTTTGGTATGTAGGGATCCCTTATGGCGTTGTGTAACTATATGATATGCTTGCATGACCTGGCGCCGTCCTATCTCAAAGCGCTCATGACGCCTTATGTACCCACTAGATCAGTCCGTTCATCCGATAGTGGCAAACTCTGGATACCGCGAGTCCAACTTGAGACCTACAGAAGGCACACTTTCGATTTTGCTGGCCCATGAATCTGGAATTCCCTTCCTGTCGCTCTCAGAAACAGCCAGACACTGCAGTCTCTCAAAACTAAGTTGAAAACACATATTTTTCGCACTCGCCGTCTGCGGTGATGTAGTCTACCCATTGTTTCCAGCTTGCTCATATTCCTCGATGTAGATTATGTATTGTTGCGTTTTGTATTTTATTTGTGGAAATATAAATTGTCATATATGTTTGACTTTGTACTGCGCTTCAAGCCTTAATTAGGAATGAAGCATGTTTTTGAAATGAACTTTATTATTATTATTATTTATGTACTGGTCCATTATGGTGTTGTGTGGTTCTGTGGTCGGCTGTGTGTGATTGTGGTGCATGCATTTGTTTGTGAGTTCCCGTTTCCCTTAGATTTCGGTCCTCACCATCTCCGCCTTTATTCTGAGTTAATCGTGTTTTATTTTAAATTATTTAGGAAACGCAAAGTCTGATGACCTTAGAACGTGTCCACGCATTGATTAGTTCAGGAGACGTGGGCGTGTATTGCTCTTTGGCCTCGCTCTCCATACAACTGTCTGGATCTCAAAGCGACAAGTTTCTGTATCGATGGCAAAGTAGCCTATCTTCTATCTAGATTACAAAAGTATATGCATGTATTGACAAGTGTCCGTATTAAAGACATACATAAGTACCTGGAGAAAAGAAACGTCCGTATTAAAGACATACATAAGTACCTGGAGAAAAGAAATGTCCGTATTAAAGACATACATAAGTACCTGGAGATACGAAATGTCTTAGTTGGGACCCAATGAAATCAGTAAATATTCTCTAGGCATGATAGAAACCTTGTTATGTTACAGATTTGAACTTTGGTATAGATGTTAATGTTAAAATACATAATCATAATCGTTCAATATACGGAATTCTGCGTAGAACTGAACTATTTTTTTTAAATAATGTAAAATGCATGGTAAAAGGTTGTTGGGACTTCAGAATTTCAAAGGCGTGCAACACAATTGTGGTTGCGTAAGAAGGGGAGAATGCAATCCCGTGGATGACTTTATTGTTGTTTATTTAAAACTGTTTGGGGGTTGGGGTGGGGGAGGATTTGATACGTTCATTTTGACCTAAGTTTCACAAAAATACGTCTACGAATAGAGGAGTCGGTTGATAAATAATTAACCTTTTTCGGTTAACACACATCAAGGGGAAGGAATAGGATTTGTATATTTTAATGTGAATGAAAATATTTAAATCTGATGAAAAATAGTTGTAACATTGTATTTTTACAAATAAATATATGGTATACCAATTAAGAAATATAGTTCAAGGGCTTTGACAAACTGTGGGTACATTTCAATAACACATACCACAAAACAAACAAACAAATAACCAAAAAGCAAACCAACGACATTTCAAAACCCAATCATGTTTAAACACTTGAAAATTTATTCTTACAAGTATAGCCATATGTTGTTTTTTTTTCCTTTACAGTTAATGGGCTTGAACAAAGAGGGAGTTAAGATTTCCTTTCAAAGTATGAAAATATATTTATTTTTCCACTTTGTGAAAAGTAAAGTTCATGGGATAATGGGTATAAAGTTCTATGCGATCAATAATACTTCTGAAACAAAATAAAAAAGCTCTCATTGCTATTGTATACTTGAAAATGGGTTAAGAGATTCTACTTTGGATAAAAGAATTCTGCGTTTTATGATTATCCGATAATATAGTCGAGAAGCGAGGCGAACGTGTGTCTGAATTTTTAATGAAGATACCAGTATATCGAATTCCTTTAATGTAAAAAAAAAATGGTACTTCTTTTTAAAATACGGAATTCTGATTTACTATCTCCTAAATATACATTTCAAGAACATTGAATATTATCGTTGTTACCTTGTTTTTTAATCATTCTAAAAAAAAACCCATCAAAACCTGTTTCAGTTAGATACGTTAATATTGGATGTTTAGGTTTTGAGACCTCGTAATAGCAGGTAGACTGCCTATCATGATTGTCCCGGTAACATGGCGTCCTATCTTCTGGTTTCTAAAAAATGATACAATAATATAACCAATTAAAAATGATAGCGAGACTTTATAATCGGAAAAATCATCATTAAATTAACGCACATTACCTACACCTTTGTTTTCCCCCAATGAAGTGACGGTAATAGCTTTAAAACATCTATATTTAGTTTCCTGATCCACACTTTCTTCCCACTATCCCAGGGGACATCCCGCCCTCGTCTGAGGACCGCTGCCTTTTTGCCCTGATTAAACTCTGATATTCTGGTTTGAGACATCAAAGATAAATCACATTATAACTCTCGTGGGCGGCGGCTACTTCGAATTATCAAAGTAGCTCCATCATCCTCAAATAAGCCTCCTTTATTGATACCTAATTGGTCTGTTTTCCCCTAGTCAAAGTAGTGGTGGTTATGTTCCTTCTAATATTAGTCTTATTATTGCATTTATTAGAGGTAGTGTGTACTGCATCTATTTTAGGACTGGCGCACAACAAAGTTTCATTTGCACAATAAAAATTACTCCTGAATCAGTTACTTGCATTCATAAATAGCCGTACGTTAGGACTTAATCATTTGCTTAGAACTTTGTGGAATGTTCCTTCATAGATAATTCAATATTTAAAGGAAAAACTATTGAAACAAAAAAGATTTTCTAATTTCAAGAACAATTGAATCTCTTAACATTTTAGTTAAAAAAACTTCGAAACCTATGCTTATAAATTTATGAGTGCACTCTGAATTGTCCGGTGGCTATGCAGGTTTTGTTCACTGGCTGTGCAGGTTTTGTACACTGGCTGCGCAGGCTCTGTACACTTTGTGTACACTGACTATTCAGGATTTTACATGGCAGCTATGGAGGTTGTTTACAAGCACACAAGAATACAGCTAAAAGCAAGAGGTCTCAAACTCTGGGCAGGTTTCCTCCTGCTGCCCGTTAACTACATTAATAAGACCCAGTGTCTTGGGATGACGTTAGTATGTACGTCGTGTCGCATTGGATGGAAAAATGAGCTTTGATGTTAAGCTAGAGAACTCTAGTTAAGGGGAACATGACCTGGGAAGTTGGGTTGGAGACCTTTGGTTTGGAGGAATGTGAACTGGGAAGTTAAGACCAATGGTTTAGAGCAGCGGTTCTCAACCTGTGGTTCGCGACCCCTTTGGTGGTCGAATGAACCCTTTCTAGGGATCGCCTAAGATCATCGGAAAATACATATGATCTACAGTTATGAAGTAGTAACGAAAATAATTTTGTGGTTGGGGGTCGCCACAACATGAGGAATGGTATTAAAGGGTCGCGGCATTAGGAAGGTTGAGAACCACTGGTTTAGAGGAACATGGCCTGTGAATTTGAGTTCGATACGCGTATATAGGAAGGGGATGCGGAGGGAGCGTTTCTGCCCCGGGCCCGCACTTTCTTCTATATATTAAGGAGCGGCATTTTCAACCCACTAACTTGCTTTTTTCGTGGGAGGCTCGTCAAAAACATTAACCCACCCGGATGGGACTATCCCTAGCTACGCCACTGGCTAGAGACCCCTGGTCTATGGGGAACTTGAGATGGAAAGATCTGATTTTTTATTTTTTTGTTGCGGAAGATCTCGCTTATGATGTAACAGGAATGATGTTACTCTTTTAGTTGAAATACGCACGAGCAATAGCAATCAATGTTTATTGAGTAAGAGATGGAGTTTAAAAAAAAACACTTTTTTATGTAAAAAAAAAAAATCTTTGAAGAGTTAATCACTAAATCTATAGCCTTGCGTGAAGCCTAAATTTTCTTGACAGGCTTGACAGGGTGAGGTTGTGGGACCTGCGCTCATCAGGTTTCTAATATTGGGCTAGGTTGTGGGACCTGCGCTCATCAGGTTTCTAATATTGGGCTAGGTGTGGGACCTGCGCTCATCAGGTTTCTAATATTGGGTTAGGTTGTGGGACCTGCGCTCATCAGGTTTCTAATATTGGGCTAGGTTGTGGGACCTGCGCTCATCAGGTTTGTAATGTTGGACTAGGTTGTGTGAATTAATGCGTTATTTTTGGGTCACACATACATTTTTAACATCATATTTCCGAGATGATTATGTTTCATCGGTAATCATTTGCCTCAACCCCGTAAGTTCCACCTCCGGGTTAATTGTGACATCCTCCGCTTTCGCATGGGGTAATATAACAACAAGCCTGTCAACCCATGCTTCGTGGGGCCTCGATTCGGCGTCGCGGGGCTATGGGCAAGATTCGTCCTTAAGAACTAACTGCAATTATTCTCTGCTCTGTCGGATTAGAGATCGAATCCAGCCAGAAACAACAGATTAAGCCGTTGCTATGCGTGACAACTGGATTAATTTAGCCGTTGTTTCACGTGTCAGTTGGATCACGTACAAATGAATGGAATCCAATTTGGGTCCTTTGAGTTTGATTTTTTAAAATAAATGTTACATTTTGAAGTTAGGTAACAAGGCTGATTGAAAGCTCACCCTGAGAAGGCAGACTTGCCCAAAATATCGAAGCGAATGTATCAAATGGTCAGGTTGGACCATAGCTTACATGCCCATCACTAGTAATCTTTCTAAGCAATTGTAATCATATAATTCTTTACATCGTGGTACCAAACCAAAAATCTCACCTACAGATCTGCTTCTCGCCGTTCACGACAAGAAAACTGAATCCCCACCATCTCTGGTGGGAATGAAGTTGACATAGTCTCAGTATTCCACACTTTTGCAGGAATTGACAACAACCGTGGTCGCTGGTGGCTTACCACAATTAGCGATGTTGGTTGGTGAATTGGTAGCAACTCCCCGAACCCTAGAGCCATCCAATATTTTCAGACATTGTTTAAAATACTATGTTCTTCTTCTTTTTCTATATCTTAAGGGCCCACGATCAATTTATTGATCATTTTGGCTCCTATGCATGTAGATGGGATTTGCAATGTTTCTGTTACTGATGTTGATGAGGAAATCATGCACTAGGGGTTTGAAGGCTTGAGGCAATAGACACAAATGTGTCTAGTGTTGTCGCCTCAAAACCGTTCCTTTGGAAAGATGGTTCCAGTCCCATGAAAAAAAATAATAAATCGGACGTTGTTTTTTTTTGTTTTTCATCGTATACGATTTGTCATTTCTCAGACCGGGAAACTTCCTAGCGCACTACGTAATGTTACTATTTTTAGAATGTCGGACATGTCTGTTGAGAGATTGCCCAAAGGGAGTACCAGGATGTTTTATTAATATCTTTAGTGATTGGCCAGATGGTATGCCCGGATGTTCTATTAATAGATTTCCGCCATTATATGACGAACCCTATTCTCGTTGAGCCGGAACTTTATTTTTAAGCCGTGCTTGTAAAGCCAGGAGCCTGACCCAGTGTTCCTTTACGTCACGGGATTTGTTTTATAGTTGTATTTGTCTTTGATCTTATTACGAGTTCAAAATCAACTTAGTCTAAAGTAGAAACGAATATGTTAGTTGCTTCAAATGCTCTAAAGGAGACTTTAACTGGTGATAGAAAGATCCTATATTTAGTCAAGATAACGTGGGTAGGCGAGGGGCGGGTTGCATCTTGATTTCGCGCCTACTTTTAATAAAATAAAGTCCTATTGAGGATTTTGCCCACAAACTATGTTTTTTTTTTAACACAAGTGAGAATTTCTTTGAAAGTGATACTGCTTCGTATGTAATTTTTAATGTGTGGTTTTTTTTTACAGTGCACACCAATGAATGGTAATTATAGTCTGATAAAAGAGAAAAATAATAATTGCCCATGATTCTAAGTCAAATCAAAGTTCATTAAAATGTAGACTGATCTTTATCAATGTTCATTCGAATGTAGACTGATCTATATCAATGTTCATTAAAATGTAGACTGATCTATATCAATGTTCATTCGAATGTAGACAGATCTATGTCAATGTTCATTCGAATGTAGACTGAACTATTTCAATGTTCATTTGCATGTAGCCTGAACAATGTCAATGTTCATTCGAATGTAGACTGAACTGTCAATGTTCATTTGCATGTAGACTGAACTATGTCAATGTTCTTTTTAAATGTAGACTGATCTATCACATGCATTGCCCAAGTAAATAATTAACGAATCTAAACCATTTCACAATTATCCTGAATTCTCTGATTGTGACTCGAAATCTGGGATTATAGTTTCTAATCCGGGATTATAGCTCTAGATGCTACTGGTGTTGCCATTACTACACTATTTGTTCACTTCATACCAGCAATCCTGGGGTTGTGTTGCCAATCCTAAGACTGAGCTGTTTGCTCACTTCCGACCAAGAATCCTAAGGTTTTGGTAGAAACACTAAAATGTTTGTTGACTTCAAGCCAACAGTACTGGTGTTTACAACGTAATTGTACCGCGAACTGAGCTTGACTGACGTTCCGCCACGGAGGCGGGAGACGGGGGGGGGGGAGAGACACGATTAATTGGTCAATCATTGGTGTTTTCGTTGAGACCTTGAAGAAATGTCCTCATTCTCCAATTGTGTTGATAAGTCCTAGTAGAAAGATCCCAATTCCTTATCTGTGTTGGGTCCTCAAACATTGCAGCTGTAGCGTTCACCTGGGCCACAACCCCTTTAAATGACAGCCACCCCCTCTCTCCCCCAGATTATTGCCACACCCTTCCATGAAGAAACCGCAGTTGGCCGAAAATGCCACCCCTCCATGTAAAGCAAAAGGCGCCGCCTGGGTTGGACCACCCCCCTTCCTACGCCACTTCACCACCCCTCTCAATCCTTCCAAGAAAAAATAAATAGACACATAACCTAAAAAAAACTCTGTAGTATTCTATTTCAGATATATATTGAAAGAAATCTACCCAACCCACCGAAAATATAATAGAGAGAAGAATACTTTCATGACATTGGTTGAAAACTCCGTCTGTGTCGCCCATCTCCCTTGACCGCAGCACTTTCCACACTTGAGCAATTAGCGCAATCACAAGATCCTTTAAAAAAGAACAGAACATTTTTTTTTTTTAATTTTATAATCGGAATGTCTTTAAACACTGAATATCAGCAAACGTATTGACAAAAAAACTTTCACGACCGGAGACACTATAAAGATTGAAAACAAATAGATGAATTACGTCACTTATACATTTTATGGTAGGTTGTGCCTATTTTATGGAAAAAAAAATAATTTATATTAACTTCGCTTTGTGGCTGGCAAAATATTCGGACGACTATTTGACCCATTTCCCGTCCCTCTATCGAGCTGAAACTTGACCAATAAACTCGTTGCCGATGACAACACGTTCGATCAAATTTTCAGCCGCACTCCCCAACACCAAACCCCCCAAAATAAGTTGTTTTTTCCAAGAGGAAAATAAATGAAATATGATGCCACTGATTTCACGAAATGAAACTCCCGATAACGGCGCTAAATGAGTTTGTGTTTGTTTTTTTTGTTTTTTAAATCATCGCAAGTGAGTTTGGTGCGTAAAAAAGGAATTCTTATAAAGTGCGTAACTTTAATGCTTTTTTTTTCAGCCCCCCCCCCCCCGACACATTGTTCAATATCATATTGTATGTAGGATTTATAAGAAAAATTTTGTTATTGGGGGTTGTTTAACTCAATGGAAATTCGTGAAGCTCTAAAAAACAACAACTTATAACTCCTACTCAAGATGATTCACTTCAGTTTCAGTGTCTCTTTAAACAATGATCCTTGCCCTGTGAGTTCGGAAAGCGGTACAAAAAATTATCGTCTTTTACAGACCGAGGTTTTAATCAATCGGGAATTTTCCATTAACAAGGCCTCGGCGGGAATTTAAGAAAATCTAATCAGGCTCGTCAAACCTCGGCGAGGTCCCAGTTTCAGATCAAGTTTCGTTTTAATATGGTTTTGTGTTTTATAAAATCGTGTCTTCTTTACGCTCACCAGTTAACTGATGATGGGACCTATTTGAGACCTTGGTATGAATGCAACAAAAACAAAAAAAAAAGACCGATGCCTCTCTCTGCCTCGCATTTAAACCCTCGTTAGGTTCTCATTAGTGGATCTCGTTTCTTCTCTATTTCATTACACCCGCCTTTACCACAGTGGTGCAACAATCAATTATCGCTTTTGGGGAAAATCTCCTCCCACGACCGTCTGGGCCAGGGGTTTGCAACCTTTTTGTGCAGAGGGCCGCGTGGAATATCTTATGTTTTGTTAAGCGGGCTGCATGGGTTGCAGTTGCTTTTCGATGGCCACACGATTTTTTTTATTTTTAATTATGATTTTTTTTTTTATTATATAATTCATTGAAGACTGACTGCGAAAATTCGCCTGAATTCAGATCGAAAATAAGCAGCAGAGTCTTTGTAAAAACAATTGAATGTTATTATTTTATTACAGTTTTCATGTTTCACAAAGTGATAATTAATTTTTAAAGGCTTTTAAAGTAAACCATACACAATTTGTGCATTTACGAAAACGTTTAAACTAAACCAATTCCCGGTAGGAACTAAACATTTAAGCGGGACGCATGTGGTCCACCGGCCGAAGGTTGCCAATTTCTGGTCCAGTGTCGGATACAGCAAAGCGGCATCACCTTCCAACAGACCAGGAGTGTAGAAGGTTTTATTTTATTTTTTTTAAAAGAAAACTCCTATAGGTCGCGTGCAAGTTCAAAGGTTAGACCTACCATCACCCGCACACACTTGCAATCAACACGTGCTGCAAACATCTATCCCCAATCTGTCCACCTCGGATAGACCTACCATCATTCTCGTGCATTTAAAACTTGCTGCGACCGTCTATCACCTCACCGCCCATCGACACCACTCGCCCTCTCTACTCCGACACCTCTCGTGTCTGCCTGACCCAAACAGAAATGCGATAATTTCAACACCAACCCGGTCCCATCCAATCGTGTCCCATCGTATCTAAAAATATTGGCGCCATATTCCGCGTATGGTATTTATGCATCGGCCGGGACATCAGCTCCCAGGGGACGAGGCTTGGATTTACCGCCCTTACGCCATTATCTCCCCTGGACGCCATGGATGGCTTAGTTCGGGGAAAATCCGTTTGCCAAACTTTGCGCTCTTGGTGGAAAAATCGTTGGGATTTTTTTAAAAAAAAAGTGGGTAGGGATGTTTATTTTGCGCAATTTGAGCGTTTCGCAATGTTTCCATGATTGCACCTTCCGGCTGATGTTGCTAAATATTAGACAAGCTCCCCATGTGGATATCACACGTTCTGTGATTATTTGATCGCGTCCCAAAGACGGTCTACGCATTTCTGAGGACTCTGCGTCATTAGGTCATATAAAAAAAAAAAACTAACACAGGAGAGATTCCGATACATAATGTATGATGTGATCGGTGTTAGCTAATTGTTATAGAGAACGTGCACTGAAACTGTGTCCGCTGCTTGGACCTAACCTATCACTACTACCGTGTTATGCAAGCCTTCTGGTGCTAGGGATTAACAGTGGAATGTTCTCGAGTGGACCTTCCGTTGCTCGTACCCTGCAATCGTTAAAGTCCTTCAGGCCTGGTTATCGATGCAATACTCCACAGTTTGAGATCTGCTGCACTTTCCCCAGTAATCCCAAATGTCAGGGGAGGGCGCCTCCCTAGATCCGGGGGGCAAGAACGGAGATCACTTGACGTCTACTATAAGGCAGGCCAGGTTTAAGTTGTCGATAGCAGGACTCCACGTGACTAAGGCCCGTAATCCATTCAGGGTCTTGTCCACCCCTTGTCCATCTCTGTCCGCGTTGTGACTGTGTGGGTAATAGCATAGGATAGGAAGATTCGGACTCAAAATAATCCGTTGTTTTTTTGTTGTTGATGTTTTTTTTTTGAGTGCGTGACTGTTTGTTGAGTCGATGAGTTTAGACAACTCACGTATCTCTCCCTAGAACCCAGACAGGACGACGCTGAGAATCTTCGAAACCCCTAAGTGCCGGACGTCATATCCCGGAGTCGGGATGTCTTTCTACTCGGTGACCCAACCCGTATTGGTGTCAGTACGTGTGACGCTCTGGGGTCGCGGCGAACCTGGTGTGGATTAAAGGGTTACATATTTATTGAATTCACTTAAACATTTTTACTTTTAATCTACCAACTGGAAAAGGGGCATTTATTTTGATATGGTCATAAGGTCAAGAGCCGAACAGGGGTCGATTTTTTTGTTTAAAGCTATGTTTCATCTGCTTTAAACACTCAATTACAGCTGATGGAAGCTGCCCAGAGACCGCCGAGTTTTAATGTGATGGTATGATATTCCGTACTGCACATATTTTAATCTTCCGTTCATCAAACACGCCTGGTTTTTTTTCCGCGCACATTTCAGCACCGAGTGCACTTGTAAGCTGTCGTTAAAGTCTCGGGGTAAATGAATGAGATTTCAGAGTTCATTGCCCTGAACCCATCCCCCCGTACGTTGGAAATAAAAGTATTCTTAAAAGAGGAAAATGAATAAATGGAGGTTTTCCCAATGTCCTGCCACATGCAGCTCAGCAATTGAGGGTCAATGATGCGTGGTTTGAGAGGGAGTGAGGGAACCAGACACAAACCATTAGCCTATCCACCCCCACCAAAAAAGAAATTTAAAAAGTTGTTATGGTAAGAATAAAAAATGTAATAAAATCCTGAAATATGTGTAGTGAATTTAAAATATATGTTCTGAGCACAATTTTGTTTAATGGAGTGCTAGGGGTTATTGCCCCCCAGTGCAGCAGTGGCTATTGTTATGCTACGACGGTGGCTATTGTTATTGTACAACATTGGCTTTTGTTCTGGTGCAGCACTACCTATTGTTGTGGTACGACAGGGGTTATTGTTCTGTTGCGGCAGTGGCAATTTTTTCTTGCACAGCACTGGCTATTGTTCTGGTACAGCAGTGGCTATTGTTCTAGTACGGCAGTGGTTATTGTTCTAGTACGGCAGTGCTTATTGTTCTAGTACGGCAGTGGTTATTGTTCTATTGCTGATACTGCCCACAGATACTACTTACCAGCTAAGTGCTATTTCTTATTTTTATTTTTATACCGTTTTTTCTGTTGTTTTGTTCGCTGACGAAGGCTTTCTGCCGACACGTTCGCTGTTTTGTTGCGTTTATTTTTTCAGGTTTAACCCTACTCTGTTTTACTCATTTCATTTCGGTTATTGTTCTAATACGGCAGTGTGTATTGTCCTCGTGCGGCAAGGGTTATTTTTCTGTTACTACAGTGACTATTGTTCTGGTACAGCGACTGCTATTGTTCTAGTACATCACGGGTTGTTGTCCTAGTACAGCAGGGGTTATTGTAAAAGTACAGACACGTATATTGACCTAGCACAGCAAGGGTTATTGTAAAAGTGCAGAGAAGCTTATTGTCCCGGTACGGCGATGGCTGTACTGCAGGGGTTGTCGTCCTACGACAGCAAGAGTTATCGCCATCGTACAGCAGGATGTGTAGTTAAAGCATAGAGAAGCGTATTGGCTCAGCACGTCAAGTGTTATTGTCCTGGCATCGCGGGACTAGTGTTCTGGTACAACAGAAACTCTCTCTCTCTCTCTCTCTCTCTCTCTCACAAACACTCACACACACTCTAACATACTCTCACACACTCACTCACACACTCACACCCTCACTCACTCACACTCTGACACTCTGTTGATGGACGTGCGTGAAATCTCAGAAACCATCAAAAGAAGTCTTATTGTAGAATGCGAGTTAAGTAAGGCATGCTTAATGTTCATTGGCGCGTGTAGCGTGGGTGTCACAAAACAATCTCAACGAAATCTTCGGACTACCCATCTATTCGGCCACGAAAACAGGTTCTAGATGTTGACCGTTGGGGGAAAGTGGGATGAACGAGCACGTTATGCGAAAGTCACCAGGGTTGGGGTAACTGTTAATCACCCAGGTTAGGGTAACTAAAAGTCACCTAGGTTAGGGTAACTGAAAGTCGCTTAGGTTAGGGTAACTGAAAGTCACCAGGGTTGGGGTAACTGGAAGGCACCTAGGTTAGGGTAACTGAAAGTCACCAGGGTTGGGGTAACTGGAAGGCACCTAGGTTAGGGTAACTGAAAGTCACCAGGGTTGGGGTAACTGGAAGGAACCTAGGTTAGGGTAACTGAAAGTCACCAGGGTTGGGGTAACTGGAAGGCACCTAGGTTATGGTAACTGAAAGTCACCAGGGTTGGGGTAACTGGAAGGCACATAGGTTAGGGTAACTGAAAGTCACCAGGGTTGGGGTAACTGGAAGGCACCTAGGTTAGGGTAACTGAAAGTCACCAGGGTTGGGGTAACTGGAAGGCACCTAGGTTAGGGTAACTGAAAGTCACCTAGGTTAGGGTAACTAAAAGGCACCTAGGTTAGAGTAACTGAAAGTCGCCTAGGTTAGGGTAACTGAAAGTCACCAGGGTTGGGGTAACTGGAAGGCACCTAGGTTAGGGTAACTGAAAGTCACCAGGGTTGGGGTAACTGGAAGGCACCTAGGTTAGGGTAACTGAAAGTCACCAGGGTTGGGGTAACTGGAAGGCACCTAGTTTATGGTAACTGAAAGTCACATAGGTTACAGTAACTGAAAGTCACCTAGGTTATGGTAACAAAGTCACCTAGGTTATGGTAACTGAAAGTCACCTAGGTTATGGTAACTGAAAGTCACCAGGGTTGGTGTAACTGGAAGGCACCTAGGTTATGGTAACTGAAAGTCACCTAGGTTATGGTAACTGAAAGTCACCTAGGTTATGGTAACTGAAAGTCACCAGGGTTGGGGTAACTGGAAGGCACCTAGGTTATGGTAACTGAAAGTCACCTAAGTTAAAATAGCAAAGTCACCTAGGTTATGGTAACTGAAAGTCACCTAGGTAATGGTAACTGAAAGTCACCTAGGTTAAGGTAGCAAAGTCACCTAGGTTAAGGTAGCAAAGTCACCTAGGTTATAGTAACTGAAAGTCACCCAGGTTAAGGTAGCAAAGTCACCTATGTTATGGTAACTGAAAGTCACCTAGGTTAAGGTAGCAAATTCACCTAACTGAAATTCCCCTACGTTAGTGTTACTGAAAGTCACTAGGGTTGTGGTATTGGCCTGAAAGTCACCAGAATGGGGTTTGCCTCATGTCTTTCGCTAGTACACATCGATGCTTTGTTGAAGACCACCACGTTCACGTGTTCGTTTCCCTTGACCTTCATGTAGCGTTGTCTTTATCATCGTCAGTTCCGCCTTGGCGTGACTTGGCGTGACGCTAATGCATTCTTAAAGCCGACTTTTGTTAGCTGTGGAGTAACGCCTCACTTGGCACGTCTTATCTGGGTACCGATGACAACTGCATTTGATCCCACGGATAAGTTCACCGAATTTCATTTTAAATGAACTGGCACTGAACTGGAACTGAACAGAATTTAATTAGAACGGAAATTGGAGACAGGGGAAACAACCGGGGGAATAGAAGCCTTAAAATACGGTATAGATTTTCTACCTTGGCTCGTGGTTGAAAAAAAAAATGGCGTTGTTTTGCTTTTGTTTTGTGTGTGAGTGGGGGGGGGGCGGATTGTCTGCGATCCAGTGTAAGTGAACTTGAGAGAAATTGTTCTATCACATGATGAATTTTACTTGACATTTGATTTTATTTTAGTTTAATATAAAAATTATGTGGGGAAATGTATTGCCAAACAAAGTACTTGTGTCTTGTATCAAGTGCTGAGTGAAAACAAAACAAAAATTTAGCACTTGGTAAAGTTTTCTTTAAAGCAAACCACTGTTTTCGCGTAAGGAAAAGGTGTTCGAGAATTACTGTCAATTTCAACAGCTTAAAAGTCCCGACAGAACTCTCATCTGAAAAAGCTGTTACACTTTGCTCAATTGCATATCAAATTTGAAGAAAAAAAAAAAACAATTGCATTCTGTCGACTTTCTTCTTCATCTTCCTTTGCTTCAAAGATGCCCCCAAAAAACGCCTACTATAAATAATGCTAACGTGTGTTATTTTGTTTGTTTGCTCCAGGAACTCCGTTCTGGTGCCTGCTGGACATTGTGCCCATCAAGAATGAGAAGCGGGATGTCGTGTTGTTCCTGGTTTCACACAAAGACATCACAAAGGAGAAGGATAAAAGTAAGCACGCTGTCTCTGCATGTCTTTGTTCATTAGAGTGTTGTGTTCATCTCTGCATGTCTTTGTTCATTAGAGTGTTGTGTTCATCTCTGCATTTCTTTGATCATTGGAGTGTTGTGTTCATCTCTGCATGTCTTTGTTCATTAGAGTGTTGTGTTCATCTCTGCATTTCTTTGGTTCATTAGAGTGTTTTGTTCATCTCTGCATTTCTTTGATCATTGGAGTGTTGTGTTCATCTCTGTATTTCTTTGTTCATTAGAGTGTTGTGTTCATCTCTGCATTTCTTTGTGCATTTGAGTGTTTTGTTCATCTCTGCATTTCTTTGTTCATTAGAGTGTTGTGTTCATCTCTGCATTTCTTTGTTCATTAGATTGTTTTTGTTCATCTCTGCATTTCTTTGTTCATTAGATTGTTTTTGTTCATCTCTGCATTTCTTTGTTCATTAGATTGTTTTTGTTCATCTCTGCATTTCTTTGTTCATTAGATTGTTTTTGTTCATTTCTGCATTTCTTTGTTCATTAGAGTGTTTTGTTCATTTCTGCATTTCTTTGTTCATTAAATTGTTTTTGTTCATCTCTGCATTTCTTTGTTCATTAGATTGTTTTTGTTCATTTCTGCATTTCTTTGTTCATTAGAGTGTTTTGTTTATCTCTGCATTTCTTTGTTCATTAGAGTGTTGTGTTCATCTCTGCATTTCTTTGTTCATTAGATTGTTTTTTTTCATCTCTGCATTTCTTTGTTCATTAGATTGTTTTTGTTCATTTCTGCATTTCTTTGTTCATTAGAGTGTTGTGTTCATCTCTGCATTTCTTTGTTCATTAGATTGTTTTTGTTCATCTCTGCATTTCTTTGTTCATTAGATTGTTTTTGTTCATCTCTGCATTTCTTTGTTCATTAGAGTGTTGTGTTCATCTCTGCATTTCTTTGTTGATTAGAGTGTTGTGTTCATTTCTCAGCTCGAACGAGTGACTGCAAATCGTTGTGCCCCTTTTTTTCCTCTTATAAAAAAATAAACTACCTGGTTTCTATTTTCCCTCTACTAAGACAGCACCGTGTTAAAACTCTATGGCTCATGTAAATCTTCCTATCTTGTATAAACCCCTATGGCTCATGTAAATCTTTATATCTTGTATAAACCCCTATTGCTCATGTAAATCTTCCTATTTTGTATAAACCCCTATGGCTCATGTAAATCTTCCTATTTTGTATAAACCCCTATGGCTCATGTAAATCTTCCTATTTTGTATAAACCCCTATGGCTCATGTAAATCTTTCTATCTTGTATAAACCCCTATGGCTCATGTAAATCTTCCTATTTTGTATAAACACCTATGGCTCAAGTAAATCTTCCTATCTTGTATAAACCCCTATGGCTCGTGTAAATCTTCCTATTTTGTATAAACCCCTATGGCTCATGTGAATCTTCATATTTTGTATAAACCCCTATGGCTCATGTAAATCTTCCTATCTTGTATAAACCCCTATGGCTCATGTAAATTTTCCTATCTTGTATAAACCCCTATGGCTCATGTAAATCTTCCTATCTTGTATAAACCCCTATTGCTCATGTAAATCTTCCTATTTTGTATAAACCCCTATGGCTCATGTAAATCTTTATATCTTGTATAAACCCCTATGGCTCATGTAAATCTTCCTATTTTGTATAAACCCCTATGGCTCATGTAAATCTTCCTATTTTGTATAAACCCCTATGGCTCATGTAAATCTTCCTATTTTGTATAAACCCCTATGGCTCATGTAAATCTTTCTATCTTGTATAAACCCCTATGGCTCATGTAAATCTTCCTATTTTGTATAAACCCCTATGGCTCATGTAAATCTTCCTATTTTGTATAAACCCCTATGGCTCATGTAAATCTTCCTATTTTGTATAAACCCCTATGGCTCATGTAAATCTTCCTATTTTGTATAAACCCCTATGGCTCATGTAAATCTTCCTATTTTGTATAAACCCCTATGGCTCATGTAAATCTTCCTATTTTGTATAAACCCCTATGGCTCATGTAAATCTTCCTATCTTGTATAAACCCCTATGGCTCATGTAAATCTTCCTATTTTGTATAAACCCCTATGGCTCATGTAAATCTTCCTATTTTGTATAAACCCCTAGGGCTCATGTAAATCTTCCTATTTTGTATAAACCCCTATGGCTCGTGTAAATCTTCCTATTTTGTATAAACCACCATGGCTCATGTAAATCTTCCTATTTTGTATAAACCCCTTTGGCTCATGTAAATCTTCCTATCTTGTATAAACCCCTATGGCTCGTGTAAATCTTCCTATTTTGTATAAACCCCTGTGGCTCATGTAAATCTTCATATGATGTATAAACCTCTATGGTTCATGTAAATATTCCTATCATTTGTAAACCTCTATGGCTCATTTAAATTTCCCTGGCTTGTGTTAATCTTCCTAGCTCGTGTACATTTGTACCGTCCACGTCTTCCACCACCCTTCATTCTCTATATACCGTAGATTAAACGTTTGCTTTTTGCACACAAAAAAGCAGTGACTAGTCCTATATTTCTATATATCTGACAGTGGTTATGTGCGCTTGTCTGTGTGCCCGTGCGCGCGCGTGTGTCATTGTTAGTTCATATTATCATACATTTCATACATATTATCATAAGTATACATTTTAGGTAAATAAGGACAATAAGATATTATGATGAATAGTTGAACTCCGAAACCTCACCAAGAAATTGTGATTAACTTTACAATTCAATTTACTAAAGACTTATACTAATTATTTTATTTTTTTTAAATAATAATTATACCAGGAGAGATGCATTGCTTTTAAAACTTCTCATCTTTAAACTTTACCTGTGATTAAGCATTATTGTAAACACGGCACTCTTCTTAATCTCACTATTACGACTGGTCAGATTAAGACAAACGAATGCAAACACCAATCTTTACCTTCTTTCAAAACAACAGAATGATCTATTCAAAAAGTTATACCGTTGTTAGATAAGCGAACCTTGCCCAATAGTTATTCAACCTTGCCTCATATTTATTCAACCTTGCCTCATAGTTATTCAAGCTTGACTCATAGTTATTCAACCTCGCCCCATAGTTAATCAACCTCGCCTCATAGTTAATCAACCTTGCCCCATGGTTATTCAACCTTGCCCCAAAGTTATTCAAGCTTGACTCATAGTTATTCAACCTCGCCCCATAGTTAATCAACCTCGCGCCATAGTTAATTAACCTCGCCCCATAGTTAATTAACCTCGCCCCATAGTTAATTAACCTCGCCCCATAGTTAATTAACCTCGCGCCATAGTTAATTAACCTCGCCCCATAGTTAATTAACCTCGCCCCATAGTTAATTAACCTCGCGCCATAGTTATTCAACCTCGCCCTATAGTTAATCAACCTCGCCCCATAGTTAATTAACCTTGCCCCATAGTTATTCAACCTCGTCCCATAGGTATTCAACCTTGCCACTACTTGGCTGCCTTCTTGCTGTCTTCTCTCTCCTTGTAAGCCCCCTCCAGTGGAGAGGGGCAGAGTGATAAGGTAGCAGGTAGCTCTAATGATCTGATGTAGCAAGATGCACCTGAGGAGTGGATGATAAATTGTCTTTGAGCCTTAACAAGCGGACAAGTGGGAGAAGACGGAGTGAACAAGTTAATTAACTCCCTTTTGTGTGATCAATTTCCCAACTTGAAAATAGGAACAGCGTATTTGTATTGTCAGTTATCTCCCATGTTATTTCTCCTATTTCAGTTATGTCCATTGTGTTTATATTGTGTTAATTGTGTCCCAAGTCCGTGCTATATTTGTCTATGTCAAGGCCAGTGCTGTCCACGTGTATTTACATAAGGAAAGTGGAACTAAAACATTGCAAGCGTTATGGGGGAAATGTATTTAGATTTTACCAATTAAAGAAGCTGTAAGATATATTTTTTTAATGGTCTTGCATAAACTTACGCAGCATTAATTGAACAGATTGTGAAACCAACACCTTTAGGCTGGTATTTGTCGTAGCCAGTTAAAACGATTTATGAATGATATTATAGCTGACTTTAAATAAATAATTATTTATTTATTTTTTTAGCTCTAATGCACTTTTGGAAAGACTATTTTTATGAAACCTAAAGCATTATATTTTTTTCAATTAATTTCCCATTTTAATTTTTGTTTAATTTTTTTTTTTTTTCTTCTTCTTTTTTTTTTTTTTTTTTGTTTGTTTTAACAAAAAAAAAGCTCGAAACTTCCTAAGCTTTTCCCTTTTTATTTTTTTAAATTAATTTTCCATTTTAATTTTTTTTTAATTTTTTTTTTTTTCTTCTTCTTTTTTTTTGTTTTTTTGTTGGTATCAACAAAAAAAAAGCTCGAAACTTCCTAAGCTTTTCCCAATTTATTGCCAATATAGCCTCGGTAAAATGAGAGGTTTCACTGATGGAGTTATGTGCTCTTATTGCGTGTACAATCCAATCAACTCTTACTTTCACGTTGGATGTCATTGGCTTGATGATTCGAGTCCAAAAAAAAAACCAACCACTATAGTCTACCTATAAGCTTTTAATCACTTTTTAAAATGTTTTTTTAAACTAAATTCATATTTACCAAAATTCCATACAACACAAAATAACATTTACGGAAGCCATGATTAAGCAAGGGGCAGATTGTTGTTCAGATGTTGTTTTCACTAAATTCCCATATACCTAGTTTCCATATAACACAATAGAGCACATCTACGGAGGCCATTATTAAGCAAGGGGTGTGTTGTTCTCTGTTGTTGTTCTTCTCACGGTTTTATGTTGTTTCACCAGCTGCCAACCCGGACTCACCCAGCAAGAAGAGTCACACCAGCAACAGCGATGGGTCATCAGATGAGGAGACTGACGCCGACGAGGCGATGCCCGAGAACTACGACTACGGCCGGCGGAGGAGCAGGGCGGTGCTGTACCACATCAGCGGGCAGCTCAACAAGAACAACAGGGCGAAGAGCAAACTGCAGCAGCTTAACATGGTGGGTCGGGCGCTGGGGGTGGTGGGTCAACGGCAAGGTGTGGTGCGTCGACGGCAAGGTGTGGTGGGTCAATGGCAAGGTGTGGTGGGTCGATAAGTTAACAGGTTGGTCGGCGGCGAGGTATGGTGGGTCAGCAGGTTAAACAGGTGGGTCAACAGCTATGGAGGATGGGTCAATAGCTAGATATGGTGGGTCAGCAGGTTGAACAGGTGGGTCAACAGCTAGGTGTGGTGGGTCAACAGGTTAAAAAAGTTAATTGGATAAATAAGTGGGTCAACAGCTAGAGATGGTGGGTCAGTGCTAGCAAGAGGTTGGACAGCAGCTAGAGATTGTGGGTCAGTCCTAGCCAGAAGTTGGTCAACAGCCAGGTATAATGGATGCACTGGTTAATTTGGTTAATAGGTGGGTCAACAGCTAAATATGGTGGGTCATTGGCTAGAGATTGTGGGTCAATGGCTAGATATATTGGGTCAATGGTTAGATATGTTGGGTCAATGGCTAGATATGTTGGGTCAATGGCTAGAAATGGTGGGTCAGTGGTTAGTCAGGGTGGGTCAGTGGTAAGTCAGGGTGGGTCAGTGGCTAGATATGGTGGGTCAATGTGGCCAAATATGGTGGGTCAATGGCTAGATATTGTGGGTCAATGGCTAGATATGTTGGGTCAATGGCTAGATATGTTTGGTCAATGGTTAGATATGTTGGGTCAATGGCTAGATATGGTGGGTCAGTGGCTAGATATATTGGGTCAATGGCTAGATATGTTGAGTCAATGGCTAGATATGGTGGGTCAGTGACTAGATATGTTGGGTCAATGTGGCCAAATATGGTGGGTCAATGGCTAGATATATTGGGTCAATGGCTAGATATGTTGGGTCAATGGCTAGATATGTTGTGTCAATGGCTAGAAATGGTGGGTCAGTGGCTAGAAATGGTGGTTCAGTGGCTAGAAATGGTGGGTCAGTGGTAAGTCAGGGTGGGTCAATGTGGCCAAATATGGTGGGTCAATGGCTAGATATTGTGGGTCAATGGCTAGATATGTTGGGTCAATGGCTGGATATGTTGGGTCAATGGCTAGATATGTTGGGTCAATGGCTAGATATGGTGGGTCAATGGCTAGATATATTGGGTCAATGGCTAGATATGGCGTCAATGGCTAGATATGGTGGGTCAGTGGCTAAATAAGTTGGGTCAATGTGGCTAAATATGGTGGGTCAGTGGTAAGTCAGGGTGGATCAGTGGCTAGATATGGTGGGTCAATGTGGCCAAATATGGTGGGTCAATGGCTAGATATTGTGGGTCAATGGCTAGAAATGGTGGGTCAGTGGCTAGAAATGGTGGGTCAGTGGCTAGAAATGGTGGGTCAGCGGTAAGTCAGGGTGGGTCAATGTGGCCAAATATGGTGGGTCAATGGCTAGATATTGTGGGTCAATGGCTAGATATGTTGGGTCAATGGCTGGATATGTTGGGTCAATGGCTAGATATGGTGGGCCAATGGCTAGATATATTGGGTCAATGGCTAGATATGTTGGGTCAATGGCTAGATATGGTGGGTCAATGGCTAGATATATTGGGTCAATGGCTAGATATGGCGTCAATGGCTAGATATGGTGGGTCAGTGGCTAAATAAGTTGGGTCAATGTGGCTAAATATGGTGGGTCAGTGGTAAGTCAGGGTGGGTCAGTGGCTAGATATGGTGGGTCAATGTGCCCAAATATGGTGGGTCAAGGGCTAGATATTGTGAGTCAATGGCTAGATATGTTGTGTAAATGGCTAGATATGTTAGGTCAATTGCTAGATATGTTGGGTCAATGGCTAGATATGTTGGGTCAATGGCTAGATAAGTTGGGTCAATGGCTAAATATGGTGGTTAATGGCTTGATATGGTGGATCAATGGCTTGATATGGTGTTTCATTGACCAGGTATGGTGGGTCAACAGCTAAAAGTAGAACTCTATGCCCAAATACTTTGGGTATTTAAAGACACTATTAGAATTATGACCAAAAGTGTCAACCCCTGTAACCTTTTATATCATATTTGGTGTGGAATGCAATTTTTTTTTAAATAGTTTTATTTCCATCTTTCTTTTTAATTTTTTTTTTTATACTCTTTTATACTTTAAAAAAAAAAGAAATAGTCATAATTTTGTTTGAATCTTACATTTTTTAATTTTACTCTCGCAGCTCGCATCTCAGATGCCCGAATATAAAGTACAGGATGTGAAAAAGTCCAGATTAATCATTGTTCATTACGGCATTTTCAAGATTAGTTGGGATTGGTTGATTCTCCTGTGTACATTCTACGTTGCCATCATGGTACCTTTCAATGCAGCTTTCAGGAAGGAAGGGAGAATCAAGGACTTCATATACATCGACGTAGTGGTGGAGCTACTCTTTGCCATAGGTGGGTGTACGAAAATGGAAGGATGATGTATAGGTGCTATTACTAGGCTACTGAAGTTGGTCAAAGACTTGTAGCAACAACTTATTTAAGTTCCTAAACATAAGTGCCCTGGAGATGGTATAGCCACCATGACACAATTTATTATTGAAAATTAAATCCTAGTTTCCTCATGCACTGCATGTCCCCCAAGGGTTTACACATTTTCAATAACTCATTTGTGAATTAGAAAATTACCTTAATAAGTTCAAAAAAATCCGGTAGTTAAGCTCCAAATGTCTCATCCCAATACTTGTACTGCCCCTCAGTCTCATCGCAATATTTGTACTGCCCCTCAGTCTAGTCCCAATTTTTGTACTGCCCCTCAGTCTCATCCCAATATTTGTACTGCCCCTCAGTCTAATCCCAATATTTGTACTGCCCCTCAGTCTTATCCCAATATTTGTACTGCCCCTCAGTCTAATCCCAATTTTTGTAGTTCAAAAACCCATGCCGATGATTTTAGCTATGCAGCCGTGAGACAGCTGCTCCAAGGCGACCGTTTTGTCCCAGCTTTCGCCCCAACCAAAAGACTCCCTGGGCAGTGGAGATTAGTAAGGCCACACCATTTCCCGGAGGGAAAGCAAAACCGCCAAAACCCTCGGGAGAGTCGGCTGCGAATGCTTTAAACGCAGCGATTTGGGTCGACCTGGTGTCCCCTCAGGCCAAGGGTGAGGTTCCCGGCGTGCCCCTGCACAGTCCGTCATAGGGGAGACCTGGCGTCTGGCCCGTGTGGAGGTGTGCCGGGGGGGGGGGATGATGAGCTCATGCTCGAAGGCCCACGGACGCCATTTCCCAATGTGACGTACGGCCCCTCAGTCTAATCACAATATTTAAACTGAAAAAGTTTGACGCCATTTACCATTTTAAAAGTTTTTTATTGTTTGGGTTATTTAATACACTGTATGTAAGTTACTAATCCCATTGAAGATTACCTCAAAAACCTCAATTCTGCACTGTTTACAGATATTTTCTTAAACTTCCGCACCACCTTCCTCAACAAGAGCGGTCAAGTCATTTATGACTCCCGTCTGATTGCGGTTAACTACATCCGAGGGTGGTTTGTCCTTGACCTCTTGGCTGCCATACCATTCGACCTCTTGTACGCATTCAGCGTTGAGACGGTAAGAGATGTGCGTGAAATATTACATAATTTCTTTTTAAATATAAGTGTTCATTTCAACCCTTACCTTAACATGTTTGTTGTCTGTGTTAAGACCTTGATTAAAATTCAACTTATTTTGTGTGTGTATGCCTTTAACCCTTCCATATGTGTTGTATTTTGAGGCTTTAAGATAGAAATATGAGTGTGACTGACTTATGTGCAGTGTTGGTTAAGTGTAACTAATATTAACTGCAACAAAAGAGGACTTAATCTGTGTAGAAAAAAAATATAATTTCATGTTGACACTACCAAAAAAAGTTATATAGGAATCTGTAGATTTGAACTAATGATATCAGCTATGAGATGAATTAACAATTATGTAGATATTATCATAAGTTATATAGGATATGTAGATAGGAACCAATGATATCAGCTATGACATTAAATGACAGCTATGTAGATACTGTCTTAAGTTCAATGATTTGTGGGGGCCCATTTTTTGCCAGTGGGTCCTCAGCAACTCATATAAACAAAATATACGAGACAAGACTACTTACAGACAAGACCACACAGTACATGTATTAAGACTTTTGAATAATTTGTATTAATTTTTTTTTTTTATTTAAAGTAGCACAACTGTATATTATCTCTTGCCAACAATTAATTTAATGGTGTACAGTAAGTTTCAAAAAGCTTTAAACAGGGGTGGCAAGTGTGTATTCTAAAATTGCAATGCTGTTTCAAATGTTATCTCTTGGCATTAGCTCAAAGCAGACATTTAACGAGAATCACGTTATTTGAATAAGGGATTGTAGATCATTTTAAAAACTATGTGTAGCACTAGTTTCACTGGTGCTTTCCCTTTGGTAGTTAGACTCTGTTGTTGCTATTGTCCATTTGGGATCTCCTTGATTTTTGGTTTTTTGTTCATTAATAATTATATTGTTGCTGATAGTTTCTAAAATACATTGTTAAGGCTGAGTTCATAATGAATATAATTTGTAGGCTAAATAGAGGCACAATATTTGACTGAAATTGCTTTCTAAATTGGAAAATATCTTCCTTTTTTTTTTTTTTTCCAAACTAAATATTCAATTTTAAAGTAGCAATATTCAAGTTTTAATAACACTAGCTGGGCATTACAAGTTTGGTTACTACAAGTTGATAACTAAAAATATTTAATCTTGATTGGATAGTAGAATTTGATAAGTAAAATTATTTAATCTTGTTTGGATAGTGGAATTTGATAAGTACAAACATTAAATCTTGTTTGGGTGGTAGAATTTGATAAATAAAAATATTTAATCTTGTTTGGATAGTAGGATTTGATAATTAAAAATATTTGATACTGTTTGGTCAATCAAAATGATGAAATTATTAGTCATTTTTAGTTTAACATTGCTTTAACATGTTTTTACATTTCATTTGCTGTGAACATTTTGTAATTAGTGAACTTTTTTTCTTGTCATTGTACACTTATCTGGACATGATATGACAAGACAATCTAAGAATACATTTACATGTAATGACAACATAACACTCCCATAATAAGTGTACGTTTACATGTGGCTAAATTATAATTTTTGTTTTTTTAGCTTAATCATGTTCAAATTCTGACCAGCCTACACACTCAGATGACAGTACATATATCCCACCTACATGTACACTCTGATGAACATGACAGTGCATTTATCCCACCTACATGTACACTCTGATGGACATGACAGTATATAATTCCAGTATTGCTTTCTGTATTTTATTTGTGTTTTAAACATTTTTTTTCAAATATCAAATTTACTATTATTAGTTCAAATTTATAACTTATAAATCTATATAACTTGGCTAATTCATGTTAACAAAGCCAGTGATACTAAAGTTTGACATTTGACAGCCTTCTCCCCCAGTGTTTAGTGTACAAAAATAAGCACCACCCGGTAATGACCCTACCTTCATTGTACTGTGTTAACCCTGTATGACCATTCTGTATTATCAATCTTGCCTGGCTGTAGGAAGGGCGTCTCAGCAGTATGGTAAATCAGATTGGCTATTTCTTATTTATTTTTTTATTTTATTACATTTTTTTTATATATTTCTAGGGTTTTTAATACAACACACAAATTAGCCAATGTACACAATTTATTTTAATCCTTGTTTAATAAAGAGCATTTTTTTTAAAATAATCCTGTGCTTAATTTCATTTGTGTTTTAAAAAAAATTGTTTTAACTTTTTTTTCTATTTTTTTTTTCTTTAAAACCTGCGTTTGTTAGTTAAGACAATTTTATGTAACAGGCCCAAAAATTGAGAGCCCCCGTATGTAGCATTTGGCACAGTAGATTTTTCTTTCAACCTTCGTTTTAAAAATGCAAGTCAATAGATGGGAAATATGTTGCGAGAGCAAAAACATAGAAAATTTACTTAAATATATATTTAAAATATGTCTTTAAAAATTAATGGATAATTTTACCCTGAATTATTTCTTATAATGCTCAGAATTTCCATTTTTGTGTAATAAATTTTACTGTTAATGAAGTTATTTATAATTTTGAAAAGTTTTGTCTATTGTTTCAATGTCTAGCATTACCATAGTTTTTACAACACATTTTTTCTTTTTTTTTTTTTTTTTTTTTTTTTTTTTTTNCCTGTTGCAGAGCACAAGATAAAGAACAGAGAGAGGTTTTGGGGGGGGGGGGGGTTCTTGCATGTTTGAGATCCATTTCTCTACTGCATGACAAAGTTGCATGTTTTATTATTGCATGATAATTTGTTCCCATTGCATGTGTAAGTTTTTTGTTTGTATAGCATGGTTCAATGTCCCACTTCATATCCCATTGCCTCTAGCATGGCCCGCTACAGCAATATATTGATGTGTCTGCTCTGTAATGTATGCCTCCACCAGTACCACTACAGCATGCTGAAATGTTCATGGTGCATGGCAGATCAATCTTTTTGATCAAGAGCATTAGCCAAACCATCCTGTGGTTTATTGTTACATTGCTAGAGGATAGAGGTCAGTAACCCGCGACTCCGGAGCCGCAATGGCACTTAGAAGAAATTGATGCAGCTCAGTTTTTTTTTCGTTGCTTATTCTGCTTATTCTGACATACGACTCCATTAATATTTTCTTGATGGTTATATTTGATAAAGATGGGTCACTCAAAAAAAAAAAAAAAAAAAAAAAGGTCACCGACCAATGCTATAGGAGACTACTAAACGTTGTTGAAAAATTTCATTGTTAGTTTGCTATCAGATTATATCACTTTGTTTGAATTGTTTTTTGCTTAAGGATTATATTAAATGACTACTAAACAATGAATGTGTATGAAGAATTGAAACACTTGTCTCACTCTTACTTTTTTTAAATTTTTTTTAAATTTTCCTCAAAACACAACTTTTTAAAGTCACCTAATGTTCCCTTAAGAAAAAAGAAATTTTGCAACTCAAATCTAAAAGAACTGTGATCTTTCTAACGGGCTATCGGGGTCTGTATGTAAAATATTATTTAGTTACCAGGTGGGCCAGTCTGTAGCTGTACCAATCAAAAACACTCTTGGTACACGTTGAAAATAAACACACCAAACACCAGCATCCTTGGATTCATGAAAATAAAAAAGTTTTTAAAAAAATTAGTTTTGCTGAAATTTACTCCCACCCCCCTTTTCTTTTTCAATAATTTCTTAATTTAATTTTTTTTTTTTCTTGCTTTCTTTGATACAAGAGTTGATTGGTTTTTTTTTTTAATTCTGGCAAAAATAATTCATTTGAAAGTCAATACAAAAAACAGTTCCAGAAAAAATATGTGTAATTTTGTTCAGATTAATTCAATTATTTGAAAGGAAAAATAGAACAGATATTAGCATCAAATATTATAATAATTTAAATTCCCAGTCTTACTTGGACTCATATAATGTGCTCAAACTATTTATTGAGTTTAGTTGGTGTAGAGGTTCAGAGATTTGTCTCTTGATTGGCACTGCCAATGGCCCCTATGTAATCTTTACAACTTGTTTAATATTGAAGAAACGTAATATGTTAAAATAATGATTTATTTATTATTTTAATATATGGGGCCAAATCTGAACCCCAGGACTGTGTAGCAGCCTGGAACTAAACTGTGCAGCAGCCTACAAATGGACTGTGTTGCAGCCTGGAAACATTTGCTTTTGTCAGCGCAGAACAGAATTTCCCAGCCATTTTTGGGCCTGAGCACCTAAAGAGCTTTTACGTCCCTTAACTTAAAACGCACAATATGAGGGATATATTTATATTGCAATAAATAACAAACAATATCGTGGTTAACTTTTTTGTAAAGTCTCCTTTCTAATATTGCAAATCCCCTCTACATGCATAGGAGCCAAAATGATCAATAAATTGATCGTGGGCCCTTAATATATAGAAGAAGGAGAAGAACACAGATCCCCCTCCCCACTTCTTTGAAGCGTAAATAAATTTCCCATCTCGGAGACTTATTGTTTCCCCCACCCCCCACCCCATTTATATTCAACTACAAACTTTGGGAAACACTGTTGTAGTTCTAGTCAAGTAAATTAAAGGACATGTCATTATTGCTATGTTAATTTTATATCACATGTTTAAGTTACCAATAAGGCCTCTTTTGTTTTGTTTCTATTTTCCTTGCCAGGTCACCATGGTCCACCTCTTGAAAGTGGCCCGTCTGCTGAGACTTGCCCGACTGCTGCAGAAGCTGGAGCGCTACAACCAGTACAGCGTCCTGGTCCTGGCCCTGCTCATGTGCATGTTCGCCCTGCTTGCCCATTGGCTGGCTTGCATCTGGTATGCCATAGGAAAGGCGGAGCTTGATGAGAATGATGGCAACTGGACAATAGGTGATTGATTTCATCACATTGGCCTTACATTTGGTTTGTTTCAAAGTTGTCATAGCATCAGCTGAGTCAGCTTTCATGTTATGTGATCCTATTTTTTTAAAGAAAATTTACTTGGCATGAAAAGCATCCATTTAATCCAAATCTATTTTTAATTCATTTTCTTTCTTCTTAGAGGCCTTAAATTTCAAAACAAAGCCTAGTTGTGTAAGTCACTTAAGTCAATCTAATTAGACTGATCCTTGCATCAACATGTTGGAATCGTCAACAGTTTTAAAAATCAATATTTAAAGCGGAAGGAAAATGAGCACACTTTTTTTTTTTAATAAGCGCCCAGGTATTTTATGCCAGTGTTTAAATGGTTAGACCGACAAAAAAAAGGACATGTTTTATTGTCAGTCTTCCTTTGTAACAAAGATTTATCTCATCTAAACGTACTCAGCCAACCCCATTCTCCATTGCTAATTCTTTGCATTTTCTCAAAGGCTAATATTGTGGGAGTTTTCATAATTTTAATCAATTTAAAAGAAATTGTTTCAAACCCCCTGTAAGTATGGCAAATAGACTTTTTTTTTCCCAGACTGAAAAAGCCTCTAAAATGAAGTAAAATCAGAAATAAATCTTATGTTAATTCCTATAGAAGGCCTGTAAGACCTTGACCTTATTTTCCCCCAGGGTGGCTGTACGAGTTGTCTGAACGTCTTGAGAATGTCATCATCAACAAAACCCACAACATGCCTGACATGATGACATCCTACCTGACCGCCCTGTACTTCACCTGCTCCAGTCTGACCAGCGTCGGCTTTGGCAACGTATCAGCAAATACCAATGCCGAGAAGATTTTCTCCGTGTGCGCCATGTTAGTGGGAGGTCAGTATGGACAACTGGTCATAGATATTAAGAAATACCTGTACAATAGTCAATATTTGAAGCAATTGTGCCTAAGAGTCAAACTTACCTAAGTGTTCCAAAAGAGAAGGAATAGGACCACAAGCAATAGTTAGCCAATTCATGATCTAAAGCAGGCCTGCACAACTCAAATTGTAAGGCGGGCCATAATACTTAATGAAAAACTTGTGCAGGCCAAAAGAAAATAGGACAGGACTTGTGCGGGCCAAAAGAAAATAGGACAGGGGGGAAAGCTATTAAGAAAATAATAAGAATAAAGAATATATGGTTACCTCGCGGGCTGCATTGGGCCCGTGGGCAGTATGTTGTGTAGGCCTGATCTAAAGAATGCTCAAAAGAAAATAATATTTTTAATTCCTTGAATTTTCATTGTTATTCAGGTTTATTTTTCTCTTATTGATGTAAACTATTTTATTTAATGTAAATGAATTCCCTGAAATATATTAATTGAAAATATCCCAAGTCTTATCCCAGTTTGTCACTTGTGCTTGCAGCCATCATGCACGCCGTAGTATTTGGCAATGTGACGACCATCATACAACGCATGTACGCCAGGAGGGCCACCTTCCACTCCAAGACCAAGGATCTCAAAGACTTTTTCCGCATCCATCACATCCCCCGTCCACTGAAACATCGGATGAGGGATTACTTTCAGGCCATGTGGTCCATCAACAACGGCATTGATTTTAAAGAGGTGAACTGGGATGCTGCTACATCTCTTAATGAATGTTCTTGCTGACGAGCCTAGTGTTTAATTGATGAGCCTTGTGTTCAAGTGACGAGCCTTTTGCTTAAGGGATGGATATCTTTATAAACAAATGTTTCTGGCTGAGAAAGAAATCTGAACAAAATATATTTATAATATAATTTTTTTCATCAGGTACCAAGCTAGATCCACCCAAAATCTTTACATAATAAGTCATTCTCTATATTAACTTAGTGAATAAAGGATTATAAAAGATTCTAGTTAATGTCCTAATCTGTCCCTTCTGTGGAGGAAGGCTCTTAGCTGAAACTTTTGTCTTGTCTTTCTGTTCCAAGCGTCTAGATACCTTTTTGCTCTGCTATTAACTTAGCATACCAGCCTTTAACAGTTGGTTATGGTTATGGATTTGGGTCACCAGACTAAGGTGTGCAATGGAATTTCAGCTCTCTGGGATAAGTAGCCCTAGATTAATTATACCTCCAAGTTGTTGTTTTTTTTTTCTCAGAACAGACTATCAAACAATCAATGCTGATGTCATGAAAGGTTTTAAAAATTATTTCTAATTAGTTTGAGCACATCATTACTTATTTCCACTTGTATGGCATCGCATTATACTTACTTATGCCATTTACCTCGTCTGGGGCATACAATGTCTTCAAGAATTTTCCATTTATCTCAGTCCTGTGCTTTCCTTTCCAGTTGCTTCCATGTGTATCCCATACTTAGCGTGTCTTCCTCTAGCTCACGTCTCCATGTATTCTTAGGCCTTACTCTTTCTTTTTCTCTGTGGATTCCATGTTAGGGATTGTCTGGTGATGTTGTCTTCGGGTTTGCTGAGAGTGCTGCCGATTTTCCTTACAATGTTTTCAGCAATAGGCTCCTGGTTATGCTGTCCAATATTCACTATTTAAGTCTCAAAATTGTGCTCTCCACTCAGAGTAAGATGAATCCTAATATAACTGTGCCCGTTGGTATCCTTACTCTGGGCATAAAGGTCTCACCAACTCTGAGGCTGAGAAAGTTATTAGCTAGTAAATATTGGAGTTTGAATTTTCATTGCTTCAATTTAGGAGGAAATGTGTTGACATGTCAAGTATTTATTTTCCATTCAATACAGATTTTAAAAGATTTCCCTGAAGACATGCGGGGTGAGATTGGCCTTCACCTTCACAGAGAGATCCTTTCGCTCCCCATCTTCCAGCAAGCACCCCCCGGGTGTCTGAAATCTGTCTCGCTGCAGACTGAACGATTTGTCTGTGGACCAGGAGAGTTTATCATGCACAAGGTCAGTGAAGTCTTGCTTCTGTAAACGCAAGAGGGAAAAGCTGCTCATCTGGACACGTCATGCTGGATGAGAAAGTTTATATTAAACACAGGGAAATTTCAACATTGATACTGTAACATTTAAAATTAAACAATTGACTATTTTAGCACTGACACTAAAAAAACTTACAATGAAATAAATGGATCAACTATTTTAAAACTGATATTTTTAGATTTTCAAATGAACATGAGACAATGTTAAAATGGATATTATAACATTGAAATGTTTGAATGCTCAAATGATCATACTGTTAATTAATTTTTTTTAAGCCCTCTGGCCAGTGTGACACCTTCATATTAGAAATGGGAAATGATTTGAAAAATGTTTATTGAATTTTTTCATAAAATGTCTTATCTAATGAATATGAATGCAATATTGAGCCCTGGAAACGTGAGAGTTAAATCTATAATATTTTGTAATATTGCAGCATAAATAATTTAACCAAAATTATGTGTTTAGGGAGATGCTGTCAACTACCTTTACTACGTGTGCAGTGGGAGTATGGAGGTTCTCAAAGATGAACAAGTGGTTGCCATATTAGGTAGGTATTATTATTAATGCATTTTTACCATTTTTATGACCAGGTCTAACTGACTATTTCTGTCTGACAATATCAGTCTGATCATGTCTATGATTATTTTCAAAGTCAATTTCCCTAGACACAAAATATTTTAGGTATTCTTAGTCCGTCTGCAGTTTCTGACGTCTCCCGGACGTTAACAGTGTAATCTAGGTTTCTTGTTCCTGGTTCAGATGTTAATCCTAAAGTAGATATGACCTATAATATTACCTGAATACTTTGACTTGACCACGGCACAGAAATGTCAGCCCTTCCAAGTGATGACCACTAATAAAACTAGTTCCTTTCATTTTCATACCACACAAAATAAAATAGCTTTGAATGGGTTATTTACCACAGAGTTTTTAGACTCAGCACTGCTCTCTTTAAATGACAATGATTTCTGTATCAACCTTCATTATGGTATTGTCAAAACCTTTGAATCGATTTCAATGTCCACAAATTACTCAAAAATGTTTTGACAGCCATTGTATGGAAACTTCTTTTTTACTAGTAAATGCAAATTAGTAGTGAGGTATGATCTATGACAGGTACAGGTGACATATTTATGATCTATGACAGGTAAAGTTGACACATGTATATCTATGACAGGCACAGATGACAGGTACAGATGACAGGTACAGGTGACATAATTATGTATGATCTATGGCAGGTAAAGGTGACATATTTGGTACAGACCTTGACTACGATGACCCCGTGAGTATCAGTGGATGTGACGTGAGGTCACTGGCATACTGTGAACTTCTGTGTATCCAGGTGAGTCATATCAAATAAACTACATCATGTAGAACTTAAATGTCTTTGACTTTGATATCTTATCTTCATTTGATATTTCATATTGGTCTTCCTGCATTCGCCCCATATTACATTTTTAAACTATATCACAGCCAACACTAAGGCCCAAGTCCCATATTATATAAACAAAGTACTATATCACAGCCAACACTAAGGCCCAAGTCCCATATTATATAAACAAAGTACTATATCACAGCCAACACTAAGGCCCAAGTCCCATATCATATAAACAAAGTACTGTATCACAGCCAACACTAAGGCCCAAGTCCCATATCATATAAAGTACTGAATCACAGCCACCACTAAGGCCCAAGTCCCATATCATATAAACAAAGTACTATATCACAGCCAACACTAAGGCTCAAGCCCCATATCATATAAACAAAGTACTATATCACAGCCAACACTAAGGCCCAAGCCCCATATCATATAAACAAAGTACTATATCACAGCCAACACTAAGGCCCAAGCCCCATATCATATAAACAAAGTACTATATCACAGCCAACACTAAGGCCCAAGCCCCATATCATATAAACAAAGTACTATATCACAGCCAACACTAAGGCCCAAGCCCCATATCATATAAACAAAGTTCTATATCACAGCCAACACTAAGGCCCAAGCCCCATATCATATAAACAAAGTACTATATCACAGCCAACACTAAGTCCAATAGGATACATGCCTAAGTGGGAGCCTGAATGAAGAAAGAGGATCTCGTACATCATAAAATAAACATCTTAATTTAAATACTCCTTCCAAAAAGGTCAAAGGCCTTGTAGAATCTCTACTGCTGTACCCGGATTATGCTGAGACATTTAACACTGAGCTTCCCAATGACCTGACATACAATGTACGAGAAGGTCATGAGGACCATAGTGATGTAAGTATTCTACACATCTTTGAAGGTTTTTAGTCCTACTGTGTCTGTGAGGGGGATATTTATCTCTTTTCATGAAACCTTCAGGCATCACAGGTCTTGCTTACACTTGATGCAAGTTAGATATTAATTGGATATAAGTTAGATTTAATTAAGATATAGGTTAGTTATAAATTAGATTTAATGTAGATATAAGTTAGATATTAAGTTAGATATAAGTTAGATTTAATTAATATATAAGTTATATTAATTAAGATATAAGTTAGATTTAATTTAGATATAATTATAAGTTAGAATGTTTGCTGCAATATACAAGATGTAGCAAAAAATTGTACATTTAAAGTTTTTATTGATCCAATTTTCCAAATATCGCAATGACAAAAACCAACTATATAAGAATGTCTTAATTTGTGAGCCACACTATTGAATGATTGACAGGATGAGTCATCGACTGCTGCCCCTCTAATCACCCTCCCTTCCATATCTGAGGATGAAGAGGAAGATGATGAAGATAACAACAATGACCTGATCTCCAAGAAGAGGACGAAGCCGCTGAGGACAAGGGAAGACAACGAAGACGACATCGGAGAGGGCAGGGGCAGCACACCGTTATCTCCCTTGCTGACCCAGTTTGGTAGAGAGCAGAGCAACAGCGACTGGTTGGCGACCCGCGGGAGGATGCCCAACGGGCATATTGGATCTGCGATAAGGTACATCTAACAAGCACGGGATCTTCTTTATAGTAAAACTAACACACAAAAAAAGTCTCTACACATTGAGAATAAAGTTGATCAGTTCTGTTGGTTAATTGTTGGGCTAAATTATTTTATTTTAAAAAAGTGTGAAGATGGGTTCACATTTAATGAGGATGGCTTGTCACAAAGAAGTTAAACCTCAATGATGCTAGGTTAAATTGAAGAAAAATCTACATCAAACTGGGGAATGGGATAATTGTTAAGATAGGAATTAATGATGTCTCTCACTGATAAGAAGAAAAAAACAACAATTTTTTTGTTAATAAACATAAGCTCTGAGAGCTAGATGATAGTCTTTAATGACAATGTTAACATATTAATGCATTCATTGATTGAAATTAACAAGTTGGAGGATACTGGTCTCATTTAGTTTCCATAGGTAGTGTAAGTCAGTGGTTTCCCAACCTGTGCTTCATGGGTTCTCAACAGCCGGTTCAGGTAACTCCTAAATACTGTTAACTTGTAAGAAATAGTATGGTGGGCTTATAGGACAGCCCAATAGAAAATGATTCTAAAAAGGGATCCTTCAGTCAAAAAGGTTGGAAACCACTGGTATAAGTTATAAGTGTGTGGGTTTTTTTGTTGTTTTTTTACTAAGCATAATTTGCATGACTTTACACCATATACTTCTTATAATTTTGTGTATTGTTCTAAGGAGAAATTCAAACATGTTGTATTCTTGCTTTTAGTTTGTAACACTTTTCCATACATGGACTCTCATCCCTCACTCTTTGGGTCTGCGCCTCGCTTGTAAAGACACTTTTGTCTCTGCTTTGTTTGTCCCCAAAATGGACGAATGAAATGTTCATTTCTCTCCTTCTTGTAGTCATTTAAACTTGATGTATTATTGAGGTGATTCATACTATGGGATTCCTGTTTTCAAAATGGATAATTATTTATTTTTAAATGTGATGTAACAGTAAACCTTAAAATTTTTCAGACAAGTCTTCAGCTGATTATAAGTTAACTTTTCATCAACAACTCAGTTGATTTATTTTCTTGCTCTTTTGTGGAGCTCTTCTCAATCATATTAGTGAAAATTTAACATATTTTTTTCTTTTGTTTAGCTCTTCTACATCAAATCAGCGAACATATTATAACATATTAGACAAATTCTTGGATTATACAAAAACTATTTAAAATCTTGGTTTAATTATGTTTATTTCCTCCATCTTTTCTGTAAGTCCTATATCCTCAGATGATACTCACCAGTTCTTTACTATATCTACACTGGCTTGAATACCTTCAAGCAGACCTAGGAGATGGAAACTGCATCTTGACTTATGTTAGAAATGGCACCATAACCCAAAATCAATCCAAAATTATTTCATTAAGTCATCCAGCACCAGCCTGAATAATTGTGAGGAGCTCTGCAGATTCTATCCCATTTTCTAGCCCATCACCTGAAGATGAATTGCTATCTTCACTCATCCTGAAAAACACTTCACTCCTTTGGTGAATCTGGTGCTCTCTTAAATAATATTATTTATATTACTATCTCATTTCTACTTTATCTTCCTTGGTTTTTTTTCCTTGGTTTTTTAAAATCTTTTTTTATATTTTCATCTTCAAATTTATGACCTGTTACCATTTTATTTGATGATTTATTTTATATTATAAAAAGAGAATTGTGATACAACACTAATGAGTGCTTTGTGTGTAAACTGAATTCAAACTAATTCTTTTGTACGTTAACACATCTGCACGTTCCTCGCGTGAACCCTTCTCTTTTTTTTCTTTCTTTTAAATCTCTCCCCTGCCTCTCCTGCTCTTACCTTCTAACAAAGCCTCTTTTCCTACCACCAAGACATTGTGTATATTTACTTACTAGCATGAGACTGGCGAGCCACCAATCAAAGTTAAAAGAATGGATAAATAGAGCCAGAAAAAGGTAGACCTTTTCATCAGTGTTGTTTTCTCCTAGCATGTTTCTAACTTACTATGCCTCCAACTGTTTACCTACTTTACTTCAATTTAGCAAAATTATTTTTGTCCTAATGTACACCACCCCCACTTTTATATTAAAAAAAAGGTAAAAATATTTCCACATAGAAATCAATGGGCTTATTTGATCCAATCATAAACTTTCACAGTTTTTTTAAAATGACCCTTCCAAAATATATTTTATTTAAGTTATTATACTTACTTCTTTTATTTAGATATATGTATATTAATATAGACTGTGTCTATGCTTATCATATAAGATTATGTTTTATTTCACATATTATGTTTCCATATTTAGTAGAACTTCACGTCTAGAGTTGTCCTTGCTGAGCGAGATATTTGGCACTAACAAACTGCTTGATTCGGTTAACACTTTTTGAGTTCTTCTGTTAAATGCCAGTAATGATTGTTGAATGTTTTTATTTGATTCACACCAATGTTTTTTTAAAAATTACGTATACAATTTGATATAACATAATATCGTTACTTACATTAGACTTCTTCTATCTTGCTCCTCAGTTGTCATGATTATTGTGTGCTGGTATTCAAAATTGCACATTTCTTATACAAGCAAGCTCAGTTTTTGTTGTTAGTAATTGTATTAATAATAATAATGATGACTCCAAATTCCTTCTCTAGATAATCCTGTTTGTGGCTCCAGCACCCAATCAGCTAGCATTTCATTAAATTATAGAGGACATTGTGCTTGCAAAATTATAGACATCCTGCCTTATAGGCAACATAAAGATATTTTCTGATCAATATTAGCCTTGCGTTTTGGGGTTAAAAATACTTTCTGTATATTTAAATCCACATGGCAACCAAAATCCATTAAAGGCAAAAGTGATAAGAATATTTTTTCTTTACTTCTTTGAATACAAGCAATAGTGCATAGTAATTCACTGGCTAATTATGATTGCTTAAAGAATTAAAGAGACAAAAATAGATTATTTATAAAGTCGACAAAATATTTTTAAATTTGATCGGTTAAACAATTTTTACTGTACATCACAATTATCTATTAAATATTATTTTTTTTTATTTCTTCTTTCTTAGCCTTTGTCTTTATGTCCTCGTTATTGACACATTATATTTTGTTTCATTACTTTCCACACTTTATTTTCTTTTTCTTTATTATAGCATAAGTGAAAAGCGGCTGGAAATGTGAGCAGAGAATTTGTTTTGTCCTGCATCGTCATGCACATGTGGTCTGATAACATGTTGAGCTTTGCACTGTCAGTTTAACCAGTTTTAACAAACCAATAGTACTAGCCTTGACCTTGTTGGTGCCGCCCTAGCCTGTGCTATTGTCATACCACCAGAGCAACACTGGTGTATCCTTAGATCATCAACTAACAATGTCAACAAAAGATTAATGATAACATAATTATATTACACCTTTAATAATAATCAATTATCAATATCACCATCCCTCCTATTAACCTGGCTGAATCATTTCCATTTTAGCCATTAAAGATTTGTTGTCAAATGAGTTTAGACACTCAATTAAATCTTTAAGTGAGTTTAGACACTCAATTAAATCTTCAAATGAGTTTAGACACTTAATTAAATTTTCAAATGAGTTTAGACACTCAATTTAAATCTTCAAATGAGTTTAGACTCTCAGTTAAATCTTCAAGTGAGTTTAGACACTCAATTAAATCTTCAAATGAGTTTAGACATTCAATTCAAACCTTCAAGTGAGTTTAGACACTCAATTAAATCTTCAAATGAGTTTAGACACTCAATTAAATCTTCAAATGAGTTTAGACACTAAATTAAATCTTCAAATGAGTTTAGACACTCAATTAAACCTCAAAGTTTCAAAAAAGTTTCTACCATTTCCCACCCACATCGCCACAACCATATTTAAGATGTAATAAAACAAATCTATTTGGAGTGATTTCATTGCAAATAACAATATCTATCTCAGATAACATCAATAATCCTTGCATGTGAAATGATAAGTAGAACAGGCCTAGAAGATGTCTAAACTTAGATATGGAAAGGAGGAGAGGAAAGCATTCTTTTAATGTTGTGTTGGAAAATATAAACAAAAGTATTTTTGACTGTAGAGTTCTACAACACTAAAAACAAATTTGTTCAAAATTTACTTGAACGATTGAAAACAAACATTTTCAAGTCTAGAAATTTAACGAGAAATTATAACAGAAGTTATGTGACATAAACTTTTTTGATTTAAGGGTGATTTTTTTTAGAAGTTCACATTGGATGATTTATGTTGAATTAGTTAATTAAGAATGACTCTAAAATTATTTTATGTTGAAAAAAGTAATTACAGTGTAGCTCCTTAAAGGTTAAAGTATATGTCACTTGACAGGAATCGGCATCAGCTGTTTTTTCAAGGGCTGTTAACCGCTGTCCGGTCATGTCAGGATAAACTTTTTCATGCCAAGAGCTCATTCTTGTGTGTCACTGCGACCTTGGTTTCATTGTGCCTGCTTGTTTATAACACTTTCCTGTAACAAAGCACATTGTATCAGTAGATGGTGTGTGTGTGTTCATTGTGTATCTATAGATTATGCATATGGTGTTACTTGCTTTTAGTTGATATGGGCATACAATTTATTTACAGCTTTTAATTTATGAACCTTGTAAAGCCTATGAAACATGAAACGATCCCATAAGTGCCATGAGTTTTTCTTCCCACTTTATGTTCCATCTCTTTTTACCGGTTACTGTAAATTTGTTTGACATAAATTTCGCCAATGAAAATTTTATAGAACTGAAGTATGGTAGAATTAAATTTTCGTCGAATTTCTTTTTGAATGCACTATACTATATAGTAAAACAAAATAATGTGTTCAAAAATAAATTAGACGCAAAATTAAATCGTGTGAGCTGAAAACAAAATTCCACCGTTCTATCAAATTTCCATCTATCAATTTTCCCTCGATGAAATTTCTTTCTAACAAATTTCCGGAAACGCTTTTTATCATCTCACATCTTCTCTTCAGCTTCACAATTCTTGCCATCACAATTCTTGCCATCACACTTCTT